AGAAAATTCCATTTAGCAAAGCGAATATACAATAGAAATAAAACAATTGAAAACAAAGGTGACCTAAAATCAACTAGTAAACAATACAAGAAAACAATGGATAACTGCTTGAAGGGTTACAGAAATAAATTAACTCAAAAACTGGCCCATTTACGTTCAAAAAACCCGAAAGATTATTGGAGAATTTTAAATGCATCAAGTCAAGATAAAAAATGCGCTGTTGAAATCCAAGATATGTTTCTATTTTTAAAAGAAATGAATGAAGGCAATACTAATGATTCTAACGATGATGAAAATAACGACTTTAGATTAGATGATACAAATGATAACTCAGACCATGTAGACAATATTATCAATTGTGAAATTGTTGAAGAAGAAATAATAGCGGCTGTTCAGAAACTTAAGAATGGTAAAGCCGCAGGGTATGATAACATTCTAAATGAACATATTTCTACAACATTGTCAACGTTTTTACCATTGTATAAGAAGTTTTTTAATATAATTTTTGATAGTGGTTTCGTTCCAGATGAATGGTTAATTGGTATTGTTAGACCGATATATAAGAATAAGGGCGACCCAACCCAGCCTGAAAATTATCGTCCTATATCTCTGCTGAGCTGCCTAGGCAAACTTTTTACCCGCATATTGGCGAATAGACTAGAAATGTATGCAAACGAAATTAACTTACTAAATAATAATCAAGCAGGTTTTAGGAAGAATTACTCAACATTAGACCATATTTTAACTTTGCAATTTCTATCTGATATCCTTATGAAAAGAAAAAAGAAACTTTTTTGTGCATTTATTGATTTTAAACAGGCATTCGATACTGTATGGAGAAACGGTTTGTGGAATAAGCTATTCAGAAATGGTATTAACGGAAAATGTTTTAATTATATAAGGAATATGTACATGGGAATTAAGTCTTTAGTGAAACAAAATGGAATGTCCTCGGGATTTTTTGAATGTAATGTCGGGGTAAGACAAGGCGAAAATCTGTCACCTTTTTTATTTTCCTTGTACATAAACGATCTTGAATATTTTTTGGTAGAAAAAGACATAGTCGGATTACAAACTATTAGTAAAGAAATTGAAGATGAATTATTACTACATTTAAAACTTTTGATTTTATTTTATGCTGATGACACTGTTATATTGGCAGAATCTGCTGATGATTTACAAAAGGCACTGAATGAATTCCATACTTATTGTACTCAATGGAAACTTAATGTGAATGTGGATAAGACAAAAGTCTTGGTTTTCTCCAAAGGGTCAATGTTAAAGAGGAAATTTTATTACAATACCCAATATATTGAAAATGTAAAAGAATTTAAATATCTAGGAATTGTATTATCAAGAACAGGTTCATATTGTAAAGCGAAGAAACATCTTTGTGAGCAAGCACAAAAAGCAATGTACGGGGTGATAAGGAAAATTAGACAATTTAATTTACCGATTGAATGTCAGCTTGACTTGTTTGATAAAGTAGTCACACCCATTTTACTCTACGGATGTGAGATATGGGGTTATGAAAATATGGATATAATTGAACGTGTCCATTTAAAATTCTTAAAAACTATATTTAACTTAAAAAGTTCTACACCAAATTACATGATTTACGGAGAAACTGGAAGATTCCCTTTGTACATTAATGTTTTTACGAGAATGACTACATACTGGTCAAAGATGTTTACATGTACAGAAGATAAAATTGTCAATATTGTGTACAAGTATATGTATAACCAATTAAGTAATGATGGTATTAAATGTCAATGGATTGAATGTATTCAAAAGATCCTAAATAATTGTGGACTTTCATTTATATGGAATGAGCAAGGTGTGGTCAATGCTAAATGGTTAAGTGCTATTGTAAATCAAAATTTAAAAGATCAGTTCATTCAGAAATGGTCAAATGATATAAATAGTTCTTCCAAAGGCCAGATTTACAGAATTTTTAAAACTAATTTCGGATTTGAAAGCTATATTAAAAATTTACACCCAAAACAAAGAAAGTTATTGATGAAAATGCGTACCTCAAATCATCATCTACCTGTAGAAATAGGGAGATGGTGTGGCACCCCATTAAATGAAAGAGTATGTTTACTTTGTAACAATGGAAAGATAGGTGATGAATACCACTACATTTTAGAGTGTACAGCTTTTTTAGATATAAGAAAAAAAATTTTACACAAAAGTTACTGCACCAGACCAAATGTTTTTAAGTTTTATGAACTCATGGCCAATTCAAATATACAATCTTTAAAAAAACTATGTACATTTATTTCAAAAATATTTGAGACTGTCTGTCCTTCTTAGCTGTCCTCCTGATGTTTTCTTTTTGCATATACATTACTATTACATGTACTTTAAGCTGTCCTCCTGGTGTTTTCTTTTTGCATATACATTATTATTACATGTACTTTAAGTACATCCTCTCTACATGCAGTTGTAAAACACTTACTTATGTATATATTTATATGTATATATATTTATATGTGTGTATATTTATACTAAATGTACCTCTGACGACTTTATAGACACTGTATATATACTCTATGTTCCTCATGTACCATGTTGTATGGTTTGAGAGAATAAACTGATTGATTGATTGATTGACAAGATGCACGGACTACCCTAATCTCTCTGTTGATTACCTGTGTATTGTGTGCGTTCAAGCGGAAAGTGTTTTCCTGTTAGTAGTTGATTTAATATTTTATTATGAGTGAACATAATAGGATGGGACAGCAGGCACTGCCTATATATTAAGTCCTTTCCACAATACAAAAATCAAAGTCATACATGTACAAGTAAATATTAGCTACATAACATTGTGGTTGATGTATATTTCACAGCTGTACAGAACAATGGATTCGTGTTTATTAGAGTCTTATCAATGCAACAAAATGATATAATGACACTTTAAAAAAAAATCCAGTGAGCGGGGGGGGGGGGGGGTCCCAAACCCCCCTGAATCCGCCACTGTTGCTAACGCCATATGACTACGGTGGGCATGCTCCCTAGGCCTAGAGGCCTCTACAAAATAAAACAATGTGCAAGAAAAATATGTCAACATTTACGATAACAAATAGTGGTCCCCCGCATTCGATGTCTTAGTGTAGTGGATAGGATGAGCACTATGGCATAATGGCAAAATATGAAAACTCATAATCTAATTTAAAAAGTAATCACCAAAGTTTAATTTTTGAAAATTAGTGTGAAGGTCAAGGTCAAAGGGTAAGAAAAAAATCATAGCATGCTCGAAAACATCTTTTCACTACGGAAGCGTATTAGGACCGCAGCAGTATATCTTTTATTAATTTGTTTTAACAAATTATCAATTCGTTATAACAGACGTCTGTTTACTTTTTACATTTTCCCGATCGGGGGAAATTATTTTTCTGAAATTGTTCTAATGACGGACCGAGCTCCCTTCCAAGGGGGATATAACCAAGAAAATGTTAAAGCAGGGTTTTTCAAAGAAGAAAATCTTCAAAATCCCAATTTAGTTTTTTAAAGTTTCAAACATTCCGGTCAACCAAGGTGAGTTCGATCTTGGCCAAACCTCAACTGGACTCCTAAACTTCTGAGATACCGGTATACTGAAAACGGAGCTTGGAAATTTTCCTGTCTTGTAATTCATGTGATTAAATTGGTCATTAACAAAATTACTTTGTTAAAGATCACTCTGATCCTTCGGAGGTTTGAAAAACAATAAGAGTAATGCAGAAGACGGCATAATTAATGAATTTTGTATTGAATGTAAAGATATAATGACACCTATTACATGTAAATTATTAACAAGATTTTTAATTCTGGCCATTACCCTGAAAATTGGTCAACAGGATGTATTGTGCCTATTCTTAAGAAAGGTGACAAAAATGATCCTAATAATTATAGAGGTATTACATTAGTAAGTTGTTTAGCTAAATTATTTACAAGTATTTTAAATCAAAGATTGTTAGAGTAACAAAGAATATAATATAACGACAGATGCACAATTTAGTTTTAAACACAATGCAAGTACCATTGATGCAATTTTTGTTTTACAAACTCTGGTAAATAAGATGCTTAGAAATAAGAAAAGATTGTATTGTTGTTTTGTTGACTATAAAAAAGCTTTTGATTATGTTAATAGATCTAGTCTGCGGATGAAGCTTAAATTATATGGTATAGATGGAAAAATGATGTGTATGATTAAATCACTTTATCAGAATGTGAAAGCATGTATAAAACATGTTGGAGAACTGTCAGAGTATTTTAATATTTCAACCGGTGTATTACAAGGTGAAATTTTGTCACCATTAGTGTTTTCAATGTATGTCAATGATTTTGAAAAGCATTTTATATCTACCAATTGTCCAGCTATAGAACTACAAATGATTAATTTATTTTTACTTATGTATGCTGATGACACAGTATTAATGTCAGAAACACCAGAGGGTTTACAAAATATGTTAAATTCATTGTATACATATACATTAGAGTGGAGTTTAACTGTTAATGTTGAAAAAACAAAAATATTAGTGTTTAGAAACAGTGGACATACTAGAGCTAATGAACACTGGGAATATGATGGGAATACTGTAGAAGTAGTTAATGAGTTTAATTATCTTGGTATGTTGTTTAATTTGAATGGTAAATTTGCAAAAACACAACAAAATTTTGCATCACAGGGAAGAAAAGCCATGTATAGTGTTTTGAATAGAATGAAAGATTTGAATTTTAATGTTAAATAACATTTAAATGTAATTTTTGTCTCTGGTCGTTAGGTAGGAGGAAAATTTCTTTTTATTAAAAAATTGGGTTTCCGCACCTTTTCTCCAAAATGCTTGTATATAATAATGAGGTGATTTTTTTTTTTTTTGATTATGAGTTTATTTTGATGTGTTACCAATCAAATTTGCATTTTGTTTCGCTTCTTCAATTAAAAAAAAATATTTATGTATTTATGACGTAATTTACAAATAGTAATACTTTCATTTTACAGATCGATCAGGACATCGTCCTGTGCGGGACATTATACTCTCCCAACAGGAAGTTAATATTTACGCCGATAGATGTCGTGTTCGCGCCAGAATAATCAAGTAGAAGAGTTTTCAGGGAAGATTTTTAGAAAAGGTTTGTTAGGAACATTGTTTTTTTTTATTTTTAAATGAAAGTTTTACTCAACTGGTACAGAGGATTAACTCTCTGTTCATATACCACCCTGACAGTTTCAAAATTCTCTTAAACAGACATCGATTTTCATGTTTACATCAAGCGGCCATGTTTGTTGAACGATATGTTGACGATTGTTCACTATGATGGAGGTTTAGCCTTGAGTGTAAATTTTGAAATTGCAAAGATTTTGAGATTAGGTTTTGTCAATGATGTTAAGTCACAAGTTTTGAAGGAGGATCCTAATAGAACCAATGGACGACTTTCACATTTTAAAGTTATTTCCCTTTGTGGGGTATCACTGTCTGTCTAGTTAATGGAGGATGCTAGTGCATCAACGGTACTTGGAAACGTGAGGTAATTTGCATTAAACGGGCTCGTTATGCATAAATTATCCCACGCTTCCAAATATTGTTGATGTCCCTGCTATACTCTACTAACTAGACAGTGATCCCCTTTTCCGTTTCATTGTGGAATGAATTGTAAAGAACTATATGCGGTATATTGCAGATGTTTGCCCCCACAAAAGTCAAATTTTGAAAACTTCCTGAAATTGTACGAGAAATATAAGTTAACAGAAAATATTATAGTTCCAGAGCAGTGTATTCACAACTAGACAGTGATCAACCCCATGTGTTTCCGTTTCATTGTGGAATGAATTGTAAATTTAGATTTTTAAAAATGTAGACTAATAGATTTAAATTACACAAGGCCTCCCATGTCAATTTCAATAGTCCCCACCCACTGACATCAAACACAAAAGACAGCAGCATGAGCTTTACGTGCACATTAGGCCCACTTAGCATCAGATGCTTAAGAATTACATGCATATTAGGCCTCCTCAGCTCCTGGCCTATTGCTTGGCAAAATTTACATTCTGGTAGAATGATCAAGAATTCAACTCAACTAACTTTCCAAGAGTTATCATGTAGAAAACAAATAGAAATGGAAATATATCTGAGTAGCCCTCTGTTTTCCCTCTGTAATATTACTAACAGTCAGCGATTTTTTCCACCCATTGGGAAAGGGTCCAGTACTGGTTCAATTGGGAAAAATAACATCGAAGAAAAACGGGAGAATTTTCTCTCAATTATGCAAATGCAATGTATTTTGCATTTATTCCAACTTAATTACCTACTACTCCTTGTTTTAAAGAATAAGCAACAAGTACTTATTGTTTTTCAACGTCCCATGTTCTCACATTTTCATGCTTTCAATTTGTCAAAATGTATAACACTACACTGTCTTAACCACAGGTCCCGCCAAATTACGACTTTCTCTACTTTCGATTTAAGTGGAAGTGAAACAATTAATAGTCAACTTGTACAATGTTTCATTTAACAAGAAATATGATGCCGTCATAGTCTGTTGCATCACTGTTGAATTGGGAATTTTTTGTCACAGAGTTGGGAAAAATTAACGTTTTTTTGGCATTGGGAACGGTGCCGTTTATCGGTACCAGTTCTATAAGAAAAAAAAAACCGCTGTAACTATTGGGCAATGTATTTTGGATTTAATCTGTGAATATCTTATTTCTGGTTGGGGTTATAAATGAAGGATAAAACCAGAGACCTCTGAATGGAATACTCGGATGCCTCTGGTTTTATCCTATCCAAATGGAAGTTGTATCCCAATAAAAGTCTTAAAATGTATTGACATAATTTTCGTGGAAGAAATAAGTGGTTTACAATAAAGAGGCTCGACCAAAGATGTCTGAAACTTAATTGACAAGAAAAAGTCTATTGAAGTAAAGTTTAAGGATGTCATTTTAAAGAAGGTAAATGATTGATATATTATCAAAATATGAGCTTGAAGTGGGGATGCCTGAAAATGAGTTAGGTAACTTGTGCCACAGTGGTAAAAATAAGTAGGGAGTGCCTCGTATACGAAATAAGTGCCTGTGGATTGATGACCGTGATCATCTCAAGCAAATTGAATTTTATTCATGCAATAATACCCCACCCCCATTCCCAAAGGGGTATGAAAACTGATTGATAGCTTGCTTTGTTTTACATGTATTGATTTTTCATGTTTTTTTTCTTTTGTAGAATGAAGTGATTCACAAAGCACCACAGTGATGGCAGGATTTGAAAGAGAATTTATCATTCACCTGCAGAGTGTCGGTGAGCATAATGTAAATGGCTTGCTAAAAGAAGACCCTGTTAACAAAGGGAAGAAAGAGGTGCATAACAGTGTGTATGGAAGATTGATGAAAAAATACAGAAAACAATGGTGGGGTTCTGGTCCAGCAAAAAAGAAGAGAAAGACTGATGCACAAGAAACCAAGAAAGAAGAAGATGGAATCACTGCAAGCAAGGAGGAGGAACATTGGGTAGAAAATAATCAGTCTTCATGGTCTCAATTCCATTCTGGGAGTTGTACCACAAATTCTACGGGTGTTCTAGAAGAATCAAGGAAGTACAATTCTTCATTGATGAACAGTGAAACACATTGTACTGATTTCCCAATAACAGGTATAGTACAAGAGTTTCCTGGAAATCGTGACAATGGAAATTCTCCTTTCAATAGCAGCAACAGTTGCGGTTCTCCTGAAGATATAACTAGTCAAGAACAGTCTCAGGTCCTAGGAAAGCAAGTGAGTGCATCTTTCCTAACAGATACTCAGTTGTGTGAACAAAATAACAATTCCCAAAACCTTGGGTGCGTTTGCAAGGACAACATACATTGGACAGAATCTCAGATACCAAAAGTGCCTGATTCACCTCAACCGGAAATAGGGGCCACTACGGAAATTCCCTCTGAATGTGAAGAGGTGAAACCAAAGATTTCAGATGAAACCAAAAGTGATCAGTGTGTTAAAAGTGAGCATGATGAATGTAAAAATCTAGTGTGTGAACAAACACACGAATCTCTGGTTGTGGCTGAACCAAAGCTCTCAAACTTTGAGGAGGATGAAAAAGTCAATGACAATCTAACAATAAAAGCTAGAACTTCTTCCCGTCGAAAATCTGTATTAACTCCAATTGCATGGCAGCAGCAGTTTATGTCATTCTTGTCCACTACTCAGGAAGAGGAGTCCTTTGTATCAGATGATCCAGACTTTGTGTGTCATGTAGATATATCCCCCGCTAAAATCTCACGGAGACAGAGGTCTCGCAATGTTCGGAATAGCAGCTGTTCATGTTGCATTGATGCAGAGAGTCACAATAAGAAAGAAAAACAGTCCCGCCAACGAGAAAAAAAACTTTTGAGAGAGCAGAAACATTTCATTCAAGACATGTTGCGTTTGGTATCACTAAGAAATAAAATTGTGAAACTCATTCAAACTTTACTTCCTGAAGATTTAAAACATTTTGTGAAGGCAGAAACGGAGAGCTTGGATGAAGTTGTAGAATTTATCTTACATATTCTTCGTTCGAGTGGGAAAGAAAAAGACATTGAGCCAGAAGAATCTCCGTCATCAAGAGCGTGTTCTCCAAACAGGTCCCAAGATGAAGAAGACTTTGTGGATGAAGAAATGCCTGTGTTGGAGAATTGTACAGCCTACGTATCCAACATACCGTCCTCTCCTCCAGCTTCTAAGTTTCAAAGTTTGTCTGATTCAGGTATCGTCCAGGACCAGTCTTTCACCTGTGAAGCAACTTGTGAGACTATTTCTGTCAGTGTTGATTTTTCGGATGATCAGACCAATACTTATGAACATGTTCTGGACAGGAACATAGTTGCTCCCAATCATTCTCTGTATCTGGGTACAGAGCTGGCCAAGGATAAAGAGCCTGGTACTGGAATTGATAAAGAGACTGGAACTGAAATTGATAAAGAGACTGGTACTGAAATTATTCCAGATGGGACTCATATGATGATTGATGAGGATGACCCTGAAGGAGAGACTTCTCAGGTATATCTTGGGGTTGACCTGTATATATCTTCTTAAAGATATTGTTTTATGAATGAATGCATCAAGATACATGTTTATTTTGTGTAAAATATGCAGATAGATTGGCAAAGTATATTGAAATTTAAAAATAGGTTGTTAAATGGGCTTTGTATATTGAAATTTGCAATTTTAATGATAAATATTAAATATTTGTAGGAAAATGCGAGCTGTGCCAATGAAGTTGAGAAAGAGACAATATCCACGGAAGGTACTGAAGAGACACAAGTTAACAAACTATCTGTGAGTAAAAGTGCTCCCTTCCATGTTTCAGAAGAAACAAGTGCTAATAGCCAGGAGGGAAACAATGGTGCAAGTGTGATTCAGGACCAAGGTGACAGTGATAGAAGCAACGACGAAGTTACAACTTCCGATAATTCAGCAAATGTACAGGGAAATGACGTTCAGGTTCTTGACAAACTAGCCAGTGTTCTCTACAACAGTGACTTGAAGCACAGCCTCTCCTCTAGATCTGACCCAATAATGGGTTTGCTGGCAGGTAAGACTTGCGAAGAAACTTCTGGAAGGAATAGTGAAAGTGCAATACAAAATTCCACACCAGTGGTGAACTCTCCATCAGATGAATTAACTTACGATGTGACATCCCCAATGACTAGTGCGGCTCGTACAGATCGGTCAAAAGACAAAGTCATTGATGTGTTTGAACCTTCCATTGTTTTGTGTAAAAAGCCCAAGAAGTGTTTGAAGTTGTTTATGAAGAGAATTCACTCCCTCCTTCACAGGCTTCTACCAGGGGTTCATTTTGAGCATCATTTCTTTAGGAATTCCAACAATTTGGAGTACTTGTTAGATGCTATCATTCAAAGCAATCAAGAAAATCTTTCTGTGGAAGTATGATGTATGTTGAGATCATTTAGTAATAATTGTTCATTCAGTTTTGTATTTGTACAGTATTTGTTGGACGACACCATCCAAATGTTAGGCTAAATGACCATTTTTCTACAATAACCACCTTGATTACTTTATTTATTGAAAAATGTCAATTACTCATGGATTTTGGTGTACATTGTAATTGTTGAGTCTGACTTGTACACGTGTTCTTGCCAAAGCCATCAAATGGCCATGTTGTTTTGCTTGTGTCTTTCATTGTATAGTGGTGAATGCTGTTGGCAAATGAAATACCTATGGTTCAATCATGTTTCATTAATAGATCTATTTTTTCATCATATGTTGTCTAAGTGTTTTTTTTTTTTACAATCACTTAACTTTTTTGTACCAAATTATGAAAGCATTGTCTAGTGTCCATTTTCATGATTAGGTATTTAGATAAAACAAAACATCATTATAATTTGCACAGAAAGATGTTGTATGTCATCATATTTTTAATTATTCCATCATCTTTCACTGGAAAATTTGTAAACCAAGAAAAAGTAATAAGTAAGATGTGAAAAATGTGGAGAGTTGGCATACTTAGATTTCATTTTCAGAAAGTAGATGTAAAATTGTCTCGTTGCATTTATAAGATTAAGAAGTTAAAATTAGCAGTTATCTGTCTTAGAAAAAAAAATGATTACAAGACATAGTCATGTTCTTTTCATTGATGCAGATAATATCAAGTCATTACTTTGAAGTTGGAGATCAGAATATTTTAAAAATCTATTTTTATAGCTATATTTTTCCCCTTTGTGTTGTGGGATATGTTTCTCACTGTTGTTTTTGAGTTTAAAGGTATAGTGTTTGATTAAGAAATAACTATTTGTACCATGGGTCTGTGGAAAGAAAATTTACATCATTTATAGTAAGTTATGTGAAGAGGTAATCGTTAAGGAAGACAGTATTTGTCTGCAAAGTATTAATCTTTTATTACAAATACTGTAAGAAGAAAAGAATTGTGTTACTGGTCTTTGTATGTATATGTTTTCGCACATATGTATGTACTATATGTATGTACTATATAAAGTTCTGTACATTGACATCAATGGAAACATGTAACTGTTGCCATGCAGTTTCTCAAAAATAGGACAAAAAATATCTTAATAGAAATTGTTTTCATTTTTTAGCCCACCAGAGCCAAATGATTGAAATTTGATTAACATCAGCAACTAAGTGTCAACAATGTGGCCACAATCATTTAGGGAAAAAATCTTTTCAAGAAAAGCAACACTATAATTTTTCATGTTCATTATTAAAATTTCCCTGTTGTTAGTATCGGGTCCCTTAGGAAGTCAATTGAGAAAGTCAATGAAAATTTTGAAAATAGCAGTACAACATTTAGAAATATTGATTATAATTTTCAAGCATCCAAATATGATAGGTCACAATGTAAGAATGTTTATATTCATCAGAACAATATTAGGGCCACAAAAAGTTGAGTTGACATCAAGTATTAATATACATGTCATGATGTGAAATGATCTGGAAACTGAAAATAATGAGGGATTTTCATTAATATAATACATTGTAGAGAAAAGCATGTGACTCGGGTGAACATTGTTACCAATGGGCCTCTTGTATGTGGTATGAAAGAATGTAACTACATGTATAATGTATTTTTGAAGTAATGTACATGTCAACTTTGTTATGTTTGCATTTTTTTCATTTATTGTTGAAATAAAATATTTAAAAATAAATATATTCTTTGTGATTATAAAAAAAGTGTACAAATATCATCACAATTCATTTTGCTACATTACTGAAACTGATAAAATACACAGTACATGGTGCATGTGTACTTAGACTTGGTCTCAAGATACGCAATGACCGTAGGGACGTGTAGCGAGGCTCTTACTTGTAGGAGTAAAGTGAACACCTGTATATACGGCACAGCACACCTTTGATGTGTAATTATTTACATGGGTAATATTATATAATCTAAGGAAACACTGCATGTTTTCAATAACATGGGTTCTCATGTTTTCTTTTTTAAATATATATATATACATAGCATAAAGTCTGCAGACTACGTTACCTTGGATCATGAACAGATAAATGCAGCAATAATAATTATTGATCATGATTGACATGAACATTGACAGATCCATTTTTTATATTTTTTGTACATGTTTATCTAGAGCCAATCAGATTTTAGCTCAAGATTTGTTTTTTGAAAGCAGGAAACTGTCAGATTTTTAGAATCTTGAGAGGCACCACTTTAAAGTCCACTTGACACAGATTTTATTATTGAAATGGTCTTATCAACTTCATTGTGTTTTATCAGGGATCTTGATACGTTACAGCATATACGTCCTTGGTTTTATCTTATTTATTGATTTCTCTATGTTAATCTTACTTCAAGTCTGGTTAATGAGAACGAAGAAGTAAATATATGAGCCGATTTCCGTGTGCAATGGTAAATACTCAGCAGGACGAATAATCATAGTACAACTTAATAACAAATTAAACAACTTCCTGTTTGGAAAAAAGTTTCGCAAAAAACTTGTTAAAGTTTAAGAAGTGGTAACCGAATCAATATTTCTGTGTATAATGAAATCCTGTATAAGAAGATGAAGCCTGGAAGTAACGGACATATTCAGAGGGAGGACATCATGATGAATCTCCTCGACGATTCATCGGAGACTGATGAACTCCAGCTGCCTCCTCTAAAGGGGAAGAAGCAAGTTAGAAGGTAAAAGAAATAATGGGTATTTGACATTTATTGATAATACTTTCAAATTCACAATAATAATCTTATTTATAATCATCATAGGCGTCGGAACCGGGGAGGGGGAAGGGGCTTACCCCCCCCCCCCTTTTATGCAAAGATACTCCCAAACACTACACTTGCCCTTCTTTGACTACACTGCAACGTGACTGTTGAATGTGGGGGACTAAACCTATGCCCCAATCTTCAATGTCTATATTATGCCTATCAACAGGCGGTAACATGAATCACCAGAATGCACCGTAATCACCGAAATGCCCCAAAAAATCACCAAAATGCCATATACAGTAGTGTGACATAAATGAGTTCGCAAAATGGCCGCCGTCATTCATGCGTGCGGTGCGCTTGCGGTATATAAAATCTAATTTCTATCAATAAAATAATATTACCACTTACCTTTTTGTGTTAGTACTTTGTTATATAGCCTCTAGAGCGAAGAACACTTCGAATTATTCTCCTAGGAATGCTTGCACATAAACTCTGAATATAGTGCAAAGGGAGGCTACTCCATATTTCATGGACGATTCGCTCCAGATCATTCGCGTTTCTGATCTCATGTGTCCTCCTTTGTACACGGATTTTGAGCACTCTCCAGACATTTTCTATAATATTGAGATCAGGACTTTGTGGGGGCCATGGTAGAGTGTTAACGTTGTTGTCTTGTTTCCAACGATTTGAGAAAGCGGAGACATGACAGGGGGCATTGTCTTCTTGGAAAATCCAGCGTCGGTTTGGGAAATGACGAGCGATCACAGGCCAAATGCACTCATCAAGAATTGTAATATATTTCTCGCTATTCATGTTCCCATCCACAGTTTTTAAGGTACCAACTCCATTATAACATATGCAGCCCCAAAACATGAGGGAGGCCCGACAGTTTGTAATCACCACGTAACCCGACACATTCAGGACGTATTCTTTCCTCACTCTTCCTCCAGACATGAACTTTATCATTATTTCCAATAACTATCTTAGTCTCATCACTGAATATTATGGATGACCAATGATTGTTGACTGTCCAGTGCAATTTCTGTCGACAAAATCGGGTTCTCTTCTCTCTATTCACGCGTGAAACAGTTGTTTTCTTAGAAACTACACACCTCTTGTAACCTTCCTCTGATAATCGCCTGTGAACTGTTCTGAGAGACACATTAGATCCTGTCCTGGCATTAAATCTGGATGTTATATCTTTTAAGGTCTGACGACGGTTGATTTTAATGCTTCGGAAAAGAACCCTGTCATCTCGCTGTGAAGTTTTTCGTTTCACCCCACTTCTCGGTAAATTTTCTATGTTACCCCTTTCCCTCACACGTTTGAGAAATTTTTGGATGGTACGACTGTTAATTCCGGTTAGATTCTCAATTTTATAGCTTGACAGACCTTCATTTGACATCTGAATGATTATTTCTTTAAGATCACTAGTCAATTCTCAACCATGGGGAGCCATATCTCCAAGCAGACGATAATTGTTTATCAAAGGGGAATAATCCAAATTTACAACAATGGACAGATTTAGTTAAGTCGTACCTAAATTTCAACTAAATATTTTTTCCTGTAAGAGAAGCGATAACGTTAATTCAGCAACTGGTTCACCGCCCTTCTTAAATACTTACGATGACGGCGGCCATTTTGCGAACTCATTTATGTCACACTACTGTATGTATGGGCATTTCAGTGATTGCGGGGCATTCCAGTGATTCGTGTTACCCATCAACAGGCACGTTGCAAAGTAGTCAAAGAAGGGTAAAAGTAGTGTTTGGGGAAAAAGTTGATACTGAGAAAGTTTGAACCTCTATTTACTTTAGAATGTGAATTTCAAATATTTCACTGTTCCTCCACTGTGACACATATTTTTTTTATCTTTTGATGTCTATCTTTTGTAAACTATGTTGAGAAAGATTTTCTTAAACCTCATTTAATATTTATGATAGTAATTTTAATTTATTTTTTTTTTATAATTTTAATGCCTTGTCATACCAATGATAGCTGTCAAAAAATCCTATTTTGATTTTCAGGAAGCGGAACCCTTATGCTGCCTCTTCCTCTACTGGTGGTGGTGTGTGTAACTGGTGGCAGTTCATCAAGATGCTGGTAGTCTTGTTACTGGTATGCTCTGTGACAGTCATGGGTTTTATCACAGTATGGCTTTCCAATCAAGTGAAGGACCTTCAGCAACAGCTAAATCAAGGTAAACAAACAATATTGAGTTGAGCTGTTAGTGGTAAAACAGCTAGACTGATTTAATACATACCTTATTAAAAAAAATTGCAAAATTGCAGGAGTTTTGGTGATACAATAACATCTAGTGTTTTCACTGGTTAAGTCAATGAAAAAGATGAAGATAATGAACAGTGGTCAATCTTAAAATAGAAATTCACAACTAGTACAAATCTGTGAAAATGGCATAAAACACAACCACAAAAAAAGGTGTGATCAGGTGCCTCATAGATAGAATGTTCTATCGTTAAAAGGATATTGTCCTACAGACCCAGTTTAACGATAGAATTCGTTTCGTGTATTCGTAATGTAGCAGAAAGAAACACGGGCGATAACTCGCATAGTGCATTTACTAGGAACAATCTAGAGAGTTCCGAATGTAAACATGGCAGGTAATTTGAATCGAGAGAAAAACGTTGAGAAAATTAATTGGATTTTCGTATTTATATGGATTATTTTTTGGGATAAAAGGCATAAACAATCTCAAGAAGGTTTGTTTTGATTATTTTGGTAGTTATTCCCAGTGCAAATCATTTTATATTCTTCAAAATCGTTTCGGAGCGGATCCGCTCCGATTTGCTACATTGCAAGTATATGGGACGTATTCTAACTGTGGTGAGGGCCTGTACCGAGACACAGTTAGATTATTCTAACTAGGTGCCTCAGAGTAGTAAACATTCTTTGTCAACTGGTCACATCTGCTGGGATCCTTATTCAAACTCTTTCAACCTTTCATTTTCAGAATAAAAAGTACATGAGAAAACACAGAACTTACCATCTCTTGGTAACAAGAATATGCATCCAGTTCACCATCATCAGAAGCCAGGGGTCCTGAGTCAACAGGTTGGTGTTGGACCCCTGGCATATTTCATTAGATATTTCAGGGCTTGTTTCTTTAATTGAGAAGCACCAATGAAATCAAAGCTTTCATAAATAGTTAAATAAGGATTCAGTTGACACCTCAGATACTCATGTTACAAGTTGTTTATCATAGAATGGCTTAATGTAATTTGTTGAGAGATAAGAAAAACAATCAAGATTTGTAATTTTTCCACTACAGTCAGCCCACGAATATTGAATGAAATATGCCGGGGGTCCATGCAGTGGCAACTTCTTGAATCAGGACCCCTGGCATTGTGATGATGCAAGTTCATTGTTTACTTTTACTTAAGCTGATTTTTTTTTCAAATCATTTCAAATCATATTTCTATCATATTTGAACATCTGTGCTGTTATTCCTGCTTTCGATGAGAGAAAAAAATCACACAGAGAAGGGGGATGAGTAGGTGGGTGGGTTAAAAATTATTTTCAATTTGAGGGATGGGTCACTTCCAAGAAACAGATGCATAAATGTAGTTATGTCTTCAATACTGTACTATTAAGAATAAATAATGTGAACCCCCCCCCCCCTCCAAAAAAAAGTGTCTATGGCCATGCTCTGAGAAATGCTTTTGATTCTTCACTATATTTAAGGTAATTTTCTTCATATTAAGGATGTCAGATATTATTTTTGGTGAAGACAGTAAATACCTGTGATAGCGAAAGAGTATTTGAAGAACGAGATATTGTGATTTTAGATGTATTACTGGTACGAGTTAATACAATTCGTAACTTCCGGGATTTCATTCGATCGAACAGAAATCGATTGAAATTTCTCCAAGCCTATGTCTTCTTATTCAGTGTCCCATGTTGGACCCCCAGGGAAATTTAGACGTTGGTTTCAAACCATCGAAGAAAATGAAAAAGCGTCGAGAACTTGACGCTTTAGTCGGGAATGGTAAAACTCGTCGTAAGACGAAAAATGGACACGAACTGCTACGCACTGAATCTGATTCCTCCGAAGTGGATGAATTTTTAATAACAGATCGAAAGAATTTAATGAGACAGTGAGTTTTCAACACAAAACATATTATACCATCTGTTGATGGGGATGAGTTCGAACTGTTTTCAGTGATACGGTTCATAATTTGCACGAATTTTGCATATGATATACGTTTTTAAGTTTTGACTTGATGAAAATTTAATTAATTTAGAATAGGTTTGAAGAAAATGATTTATTAAGCATACTTTCTTGTGCTCTAATGTATCGTGCATTACCATAGCATGTTTACATGTAAAGATAACATGGACATTTGACATGGACATTTGTATAGACAGCCTGTTATGGTAGCTCAATCAATTGAGCACTTGCCCCATGATTGCTAGTTTATGGATTTGAGCACCAAGTCTGACATAAGTGGATTACATCTCTATATGAGTAAAAAAAATTCTTGAACAGGATGTAAAACAGCATACGATCAATCAGTCAATCACTTTTATATCAATATCTGACCAGTTGATTTTATATCAGTACATGTATATCACTTTTGTTACAAATTGTAATGTGAAATGTTGAAAACTCACTTTTTCATTTGAAATCTTGTTGAAACAATAGGGGCCGGGTGTCATGCTGTTCCACCTGCTTATCAGTGTTTGGATTTTTTATGGTTGTAACATGCTTCATATTTACCGGTGCATTGTTGTACATGCATTTTCAAATGAAAGAAAGTGTTGAAAAAATCAGGGAAGAGGTCAATACAGGTGATTATTTGTTCATGTTTTTAATCAGTTCAGTCTGTTTTGTTTCGCTGTCTTTTATTTTAGTTATTGTATGTTGCTTATGACCTTAATTACTTTATGGTGTTTTTCTATTTTTCGTATCACATTTGGAAAAAAAGTTTCTAATTTTGTATTGATTTTCAAATGCCTATTTTTCATCTTTTTATTATTTGTTTCTTTGTAAGAGATTATAATTTTTGTATGAAATATGTAATTATATACTTTATTTAGTGTGTCATTCTTTAATACAATGTACAAATGATGAAAAAGGGGGTGGGCTAAAATGATGGGTGATATCATACTAGATAGTAAAAATAACAAGTTCAGAAGAATGTGATCAATTTTTATAAGTTTGAAATTTGATCTATAATAAAAGAAATAATTTTTAGAACTTAAAAAATTGAATTTGGAATTTTATGGCTAAGGATATCTAAATTTAATTCTCTGGTTCTCAGGCCAATTTTCTCCAAAATAGATGCGGGAGGGAGGCATTTTATTTATCATTTTATTGGCAATAAAGTAGATGAGGGAGGTATTTATTTAATTTGAATTTTCTTTAAAATAAAGATATTTTTTTTATTCATAGATATACTTTCCATGTCTGTTCAAAACATTTGCTTTATCAATTGTTTATCAGCTTTTGAACATCACAGGCAATGTCTTTGGATGTATTTTGAAACGAAGTAGTCAAAATCTCTTAGCAAATGGCTACAGGAAGTGATATTTTAGTACACGTGTACTAAACTACGAAAAAAAAATTGAGGACGGAATTTTTAGCTCTACTGGTCAGAGACCAGAAGAGCTTATGCGATAGTAATGTGTCGAGCGTCCGTCCAGCTGTATAGCTGTCCGTCTGTCTGTATACAATTTTTCAAAATGCTACTCCTCCTACAGTTTTGGTTTTATTTCAATATAACTGGGCACACAAGTAGACTACACTAAGATACGTAATTCTATAAATCGGTTTTTGATTTCCTTGAACGGTGTTGCCGTGGTTACTAAAAATAGAAATTTCTGTGAAATTGTTTCAAAATGCTGCTCCTACTACAGTTTTGGTCTGATTTCAATATAACTTGGCACACAAGTAGACTACACTAAGATACATGTACATAATTTTGTATATCAGTTTTTGATATCGATGAACGGTGTTGCAGTGGTTACTAAAGATAGAAATTTCTTTAAAATTGTTTCAAAATGCTACTCCTCCTACAGTTTTGGTCTGATTTCAATATAACTTGGCACACAAGTAGACTACACTAAGAACATAAGGAGACTTTATCAAGGATCATTATTTTATTTATTGCTGTTGTAACATTTCAATTCCCACTGCTTAAGTACTTTTCTCTTCCTTTGCTATACCGGGTAAGTACAAACCAGTAGAGCTTCATTTTTTTTTTTTTTTCGGATTGGTCTCCGCAATACCAACTTTTTATTTTATCAAAAATACAATAAAATTAACAGTGCGGCTACCTCAAAATGAATGCGCGTAGGCCTGAGAACCAGAATTTCAATTTTATATAGCCTAATGAAAAAAAACTTTTTAAAAAATGTATACAATTTTGTTTTACAGTGAAAGGTCATAGTCTGCAAACCACAATGGATGACTTACAGCAACAAATGCAGAATGACATTAAAAAAGCACTAGTCAACGTCACCAAAAGCCCACAAGAAATAGAAGCCATTAAGCAGCGCATGACAACACTCAGTAATAAAGTAAGGTCCAGGGTCATCTTACGTCATCTTTCATTCTACTACAAGTAGATTAAATATTTATCAAATTGCACTTGGAATAAATAATTTTTTTATTCATTTTTGTCTCAACAATTAGATGGACACATTGAGCACAGCCATTGCAGCAGTAGGAAATAGTCAACCAGGCAGTAAACAGATAGTTAATGAAGTCAATACACTCACCACACAAGTTCCAGTCATATCAAAAGTAAGTCGAGCAGTATTTTATTTTAATTCGTTATTTAATGTTTTTTGCAGAAAAATTTCTGAATTAGTATGCATGGTTACTTGTAAAAAGAAGTTGTTTTATATTCTAGTTGATTACTGTAAATCACTTTTTATTCGCGAGAACTTTATTTTCGCGTAATTACGCGAGACAGTGAGCTCGCAAAAATTTCATTCTCGCATATAATAGTATTCCTTAAGATTATATAGAGAAATATTACGAATTCGTGAAAATTATGTCTCGCTTATAAAGAGTCAATGAATATCTCGCGAAAATAAGGTGTCGCGAAAATTTAGTGATCCACAGTATGTTGACTATTTCTGATGTATAGGTGAAAATCAAGGGGAGATAAAGAACCTGAACTTTGAATTTTTTTTTCTTTTTGTAGACTGTTGCTAATTTAGGAGTTGATGTCAAGACTATGAAGTCAACAGTAGATGACTTAATAAACTTCAAGAAAAGTGTTGAAAAAGAGTTGGCAGAAATAAAACTTCATCAACAGGTATGTTGTGTTTATCCTTAAAGAAATTTTCATTTGCTAGCCAAAAAAAAAAGAAGATAAATTATTTTTTTCAAAATGAGTTGTATGTCTGAATTTACATGTTTAGTAAATATTGACTAAGATTATGAGAAAGTTGTACATTTTAATATTTGTAGACTGATAATGGTGGGCGTGAATCTGGAGGTCGAGAGTCATCACATGTCGACCTTGACACAGATATGTCAACTGTAAGTTTTACTAATGAAATTATATTTGTAGCTTTAAAACAACTGTAAGTACAAGTAAAAGAGAGAAAATTATGCATGCAATGTCATACATAATATGCAGAAATATAAAAAAAAAAAGACAAGAATTTTGGGGAAAATTGTGTTGTTACTTAATAAAAGTAAATGTGTTACTGCTTTTTAGCTCACCTGAGCCTTCGGCTCAAGTGAGCTTTTCTGATCACATTTTGTCCGGCGTCCGTCTGTCTGTCTGTCTGTAAACTTTTCACATTTTCGACTTCTTCTCAAGAACCTCTGGGCCAATTTCAACCAAACTTGCCACAAAGCATCCTTGGGTGAAGGGGATTCAAGTTTGTTCAAATAAAGGGCCACGCCCTCGTTCAAGGGGAGATAATTGGGAAATAATGAAAATTTGGTGGTATGTTTTAAAAATCTTCTTCTCCAGAACCACTGTGCCAGGAAAGATGAAACTCATAGGGAAACATCCTCAGGTAGTGTAGATTCAAGTTTGTACAAATCATGACCCCTGGGGGTAGGGCGGGGCCACAATGGTCGACCAAAGTTTTACATAGAAATATATAGGAAGATTCTTTAAAAATCTTCTTCTCAAGAATAACAAAGCCATAATTGATCATGTTTATATGGAAGCATTCTCAGGTAGTGTAGATTCAAGTTTGTTCAAATCATGCCCCCTGGGGGTAGGGCGGGGCCACAATGGCCGACCAAAGTTTTACATAGAAATATATAGGAAAATTCTTTAAAAATCTTCTTCTCAAGAATAACAAAGCAATAATTGATCTTATTTATATGGAAGCATTCTCAGGTAGTGTAGATTCAAGTTTGTTCAAATCATGCCCCCTGGGGGTAGGGCGGGGCCACAATGGCCAACGAAAGTTTTACATAGAAATATATAGGAAAATTCTTTAAAAATCTTCTTCTCAAGAATAGCAAAGCCATAATTGATCATATTTATTTGGAAGCATTCTCAGGTAGTGTAGATTCAAATTTGTTCAAATCATGCCCCCCGGGGGTAGGATGGGGCCACAATGGCCGACCAAAGTTTTACATAGAAATATATAGGAATTTTTTTTTAAAATCTTCTTCTCAAGAATAACAAAGCCATAATTGATCATATTTATATGGAAGCATCCTCAGGTAGTGTAGATTCAAGTTTGTTTAAATCATGACCCCCGGGGGTAGGGCGGGGCCACAATAGCCGACCAAAGTTTTACATAGAAATATATAGGAAAATTCTTTAAAAATCTTCTTCTCAAGAATAACAAAGCAATAATTGATCATATTTATATGGAAGCAAAAGTGGTAGTGTAGATTCAAGTTTGTTCAAATCATGACCCACGGGGGTAGGGCGGGGCCACAATGGCCAACCAAAGTTTTACATAGAAATATATGGGAAAATTCTTTAAAAATCTTCTTCTCAAGAATAACAAAGCCATAATTGATCATATTTATATGGAAGCATCCTCAGGTAGTGTAGATTCAAGTTTGTTCAAATCATGACCCCCGGGATAGGGCGGGGTCACAATGGCTGACCAAAGTTTTACATGAAATATATGGGAAAATTCTTTAAAAATCTTTTTCTCAAGAATAGCAAAGCCATGATTGGTCATGGGACTACTTTTGGATATAAACTTTTCAATAATAAACCAATATCTACTTTTTCCTAGCCACAGTGCTCAGGTGAGCGATGTGGCCCATGGGCCTCTTGTTCAGGAAAACATTTTCTTTCTATATTACAGAAAATACAGAAACTGGGAGATATGATTCAGTTAGTAAATAACTCTTTATGGACAGAGCTGCCTAAAATTCAGTCCAAGCTGTCAAGTCATGAGGTGAGAGAAAGGAGAGAAATGGAATCCAGGCTTCCTATAAATTGTTTATGTAAAGTATTATGAAATCATTGTTTGTAGGGATTTATGTTCCTGGATTTCATGGGTAACCCTTATCCACAAATTTAGATCCCCACAAACAATTATTTTTCTGTTTATTTCTGAATGTACAAGTTATTGACAAAATTACGGCCCCACAAAGCAATAAAATTTTGTTCACCCACGAATATTGACCACCAGGAATAAAATGTTTTCAGAGAATTAAATATGGACAATGTCTACATGAAGTGTTTTTGTTGTTTTCCAGGTTTACTTGATAGCACTGCAGAACATCACTGCTAACTTACAGAAAAATTTAACGTCCTTGACTGGAGATCATTCCTCTATTATGAAAGATCACAAAGACATGGGTGATGGTCCAAGGGAGGGAACTGAGCAGACCAAGATTCTCATACATCAAGTGGTTTGTAAAATTTATATACTGATATAGCATTCATTCTTCATTCACAAGATTTTTTTTTTACCCTATCTCCTAAGGAGTCAAATGCATAAACTATAAGTTTTATTTATTTTAGGTTAAAGAGAGTTTTGTTGAATTATCTGTCAGAATAAGCTTGCTAATTGTGAATAAGATCTTAGAAAAAAGCTTTGACAGATAGAATGATCCTTTATATTTTGGATAAAAAGGAAACTGCTTGAGATAATTTGAGGGAGAAAGATAATGATGTTTAAATACCCAGTTGACTGATTAGGTATGATGATTAATATTTAGATAGAGGACATGGGTCTAGCCAATCAGACGAGTCCTTCTAAGTCTTTGGACGACTTATCACTGAAGATTGATGACATAACAGCTAGTATTGGTACACTGAAGAGTCAGTTCAAATCGGTAAGATCAGCTGTAAAATAAAATATAGATTTAAGCATATTGAATATTTACACTGTATCAGATAATTTTGTCATTTGTAACCCACTGTTAAACATTTGATAAATGTAATCAGTTTGAAATAGAATAGAACATATGAGGATAATCATTTCAATATTATTAACCTCGTTGTGTTTCTGAAACTACTATTTCGTATTTTATTACTAGATGAAAGAGTCTCAGAATGGTTTTGGTTTGACTGATGCTGATTCCATTAAAACAAGTTTACAGGTATTTTTACGTCACTTTGCATCACTCAGGTTACATACTGCTATCTTTTTTCTACTGCTGTCATGCCTTATGCATAAGCCCGAGAACATTTTAAATTAAAAGTAGATAAAACAATGAGTAATTTCAGTATGAAGCATCTGTGGATGATGGGATTAAAATGGGAATAAAGATAAAGATTTTCTTTGTTTTCCGTTTGGGACATGCAGTTTAAATATGTGTAACCTTAAAAAATCTGTGATCCCACACATCTAGCAGGCAAAGTGTTTTCATGTTTCAATGACAGACACTTAGGCCCATTACCAAATTGTGAATTATGTGTCCCACTTAGTTTCTGTGTACATCAAAAACACCATCAATTATTTTTGGCATAATTATACCAAAAGCACTACTGCTTTTATATAAATTGTATTCAATTTATTATACTAAACAGTATATAGAATAACCTCTTGCATATTGATTTTGCTACTACACGTACTACATCCATATCAGAAATTTGAAAATATTGAAATACTGTATACATTAAGTATTAAATGTATTTTTTATATGCTCATTCTTTTCCAGGCTTTGAACCATTCTGTCGAAGTTCTAAAGTCTGACTTCCACACACTTATGAGTAAAGTAACCAAGCAGTCCAATGCAGTGACTAAACTCACAAAGACAGTTGAGGTTTTACAGCATTTCTCTGCCTCACTCGACAAAGACCACAGAGATATGCTGAAAGGTATGGTACATATTTATATAAATGTTTGTATTTTTGTACGTCAAGGGAAAGGACCTGTTTTTAAGCAGTACAGATTTTGATTTTAGATCTCTTTGCAAAGTTTCATTTATTTAATGAAATATTTAAATAGTTTTAAAAACATTTTATTACAGGACAGATGACAACAACTATTCCAGCTATCCCTGAAATCAAAACAACAGCTACATCCAGTGCAAAACTGTCATCAGAAAAAGTAACAACACAGAAACTACCTATTCCAACTACTTTAGCTCCAAATCCAGGTGATAAAAAATCAGGGAGTGTGGGAAGTAAGCCTCCCCAGGCAATAACAGATGGACATGTGACCGTTACATTACCGGTGAATGAGCTGGTGCTGAATGGGGTCAACAGCACGGACGATAAAAATATCATGCTATATCACTGGGAACAAAAAAAGTAAGGGGAAAAGCAGTGATCGATTTCATTTCCTAAACCTAATCAAAGAATGTTATTATTATTAATTGAAAAAGGACTTACTGTAGAAAAACAAATTTTCGTGGGGATCAAATTTTGTAGATTCATTATCAAAAAAGATTTGATGGGCATTCAAATCAGTTGTTTCGAGAGGAAGCCTATACAATAAATAGTCAGATAAAAATTTCATGTGGGATTTAAGGAGGATGGGGGGTCAACAAATTAACCATAAATTAACCACCAGATTTAAGTTATTTTTTTAGATACGGTATCTTAAGCTGTCAACTGTCATTTGGCAAAGGAAAAAATTCATACATTTTAGTTTTAAAATTTGATTATTTTTGTATATCTTTATATGGAGCTCTTCTTTTAAAGGAGATCAAAATAGTCTGAAAATGGCTGCCACACCCCAGCCTCGTTAATTTTGCTGATATTCATACATGCCAACTTTCCCGATTTAGGCGGGATCCTCCCGATTTTACCCTTTCATCCCGCTTTCCCGATCGTGAAAGAAAAATTGCCCCAATTTCCCGATTTGGAAAAATCACCAAAATTTCCGATTATAAAAGATTCCCTACCGCTGAATTTTGACAATCGGGATAACAATGTCAAACTTGTTTATTCAATGCACTCAGATAAGTTTCATTGTTTATCTAACAATGTTAATTAGCCACAGGAAATCACTTCACGCTTGAAGGCACGCAGATGTCCAGGTACAAGTAGCTTATAGCTTGGGGCAATTAGGGGATTATCTTGTCAGTTTTAAGGGGTATGCAAGGTGAAACACATAGATTAACGTGTTAATTGTTAGTCATTTTATTAAAAACATAAATTAAAGACAATGAAATACTAATCAATCTATAAAATCGGAATCCAAAGAGATCGTTTTTTGAAAACGAAAGCAGAAAACTACAAAGCATAGCTGCTGATTTTATCTACCTATAATGAAAAATATTGTAAAGTTTGCCAGTTAAAATATTATGAAATTAAGATGAAACAATCAAGTGTATGTCAGTTAGAATTTCTTTTCCCTTCCTTCTCCCAAAAGTAATATTTTATGGGTATGTGCATGACTTAAGGAAATACCCACATGGCACCATCAAGCCTGACAAATTTCATGACTATAAAAAAAAAAATAATTCTCCTTTGGATAGGTGGTATAAATTTCAGTAAATTTAATACCTTATTAGAATCTCTAATTAATTGAAATATAATTAAAAAATCTCAAAAATGTTTCCAGAAACAGGACTTTACAGTATCAAAACCTCATACATTTTTTAGCCTTTGAAAAAAATGATTTAAAAGTTGTACAATTTTCAGTTTTTCACTAAATTACATGATGTATGTGTCCTGGTAGAAATAAAACATGTTTTTAATGAGAGAAGCACTTATTTTAGCAAAAATATTTCAATTTTGGAAAAAAATCATTTTTTAAAATTTTTTTTAACTAATTTTTTGTGTTAAATTAATCCTGAAATTGTATTAATAAGTGATATCAAATATTATAAATTTTAAAAAAGATCATTTCATTATCATTTAATTTTACGACAGAATGTCGCGAATTTAGAGCTTTGAAAATTGTCGTCACGCGCTAAATCCCCCATGGGAATTTTCAAAAGTTGGCATGTATGGATATTTCTAACAATGAAATAAACGAAATTTAATCCCCAACGAATATTTGCTTTTACAGTATATGAAAGATTAAAAGTAGTGATAACTTTGATTACTAAATATAAACAGAGCATTTTGATATTGATACAATAGATATATAATTCACAGCTCTTTCTTTTCTTTTCTACTGATAAATAGAATAGGGAAGAGTTGGTCATTTTCATGTATATGTAGTACTTTAGAATCAATAATTCATTTTATAGTGGGCCATCAAAATTAAAACTGACCGAACAAGATGAGGCTATAGCTACAGCGACTGGTCACATTGTTGCTGGGCAGTATGTGTTTGAACTCCAAGTTTGGGATGATGAGAACCTCACTAGTAAAGCACAGCTGACTGTAGACGTCAAAGACAAGGACTCAGGTAATGGGAGTAGTTCTCAGAGAAAGAGATATGATAAGGCAGATACATGTACCAAGGAAAATGGGGCAAAAATGTCTTATTTGAAAAATTAAAAGTTTATACTACTGTATTCTTTTTAGATGGAGATTCTCTCAAGACTTCAACCAAGAGTGCATCTTCAACCCCTCCAGGTTAGTGTATTCTACTTCACCCATTGTCTCCTGTACATTTGTTAGTTTAATCTCAGATTTAATAATTAAAAGTTTGGTGTATACAGCATAAAGTTTTTGGGGATCACATAAATGTTTGCAGGCATGCTTATATGATCTAGATAGAGTGTTTCTAGTGCCTAAACAAACCCTAAAATTTATGAACTTACCCTGACAAATATATCCACCTGTGTTTTTGCAGAATAAACAACTCTGGTGTCACCATGAGAAATCCTTATCCCAATCACTTCAGTGTTTGAGAAAATGCAGTTTTGACAGGGATTTCCCCAGGAATAAATAGCAACTTGCTTGCCAAAACAATGTTAAAATATAATGTTTTCAATAATTTCCTACCCTATTTTTTTCTCGGGTTTGAATAGGAATCTATTTTTTATCTCAACTAATGTGAAATTAAATTTGTTTTATTGAAACAGTTGAGGCTTACAAAGATATGAAGAAGGACATGTACATTATTGATAACAGAAATTGCTTTTATAAAGTTTCTGTGATTTTTACGCATCCTTATGTAATCTGTTCACATTATATATAACCCAACCGTTACATTCATATTCCTCACTTTGCAGGGACAGGTTAATAATCAGTTCAATCATTATCAATTATTGGTCTAAATTGTGAAATAGGAAATTTATTTGGGCAGAATTAAAAAAAAAAGTATTTTTTCTGTGACTTGAAATTGCAGTTCAACAAATCATTCTTTCAAACGCCTGTAGATGTAAGAGATTCTATGTGCCTTTAATGATATAGTTTGTTTTCTTCACGGAAGTAAAATTAAAAAATTTTTTCCCTGTTTTTCTTTGCAGCACCATTACATAAGTATATTGATATGTCCCTTGTGAAAACATACAAGGGTAAGTAAAAAGTAAAATCGCTGGGCCAATTCCAACCAAACTTTTCACAAAGTATTCTAGGTTAAAGGAGATTCAAATTTGTTCTAATTACTTCCATGTCCTCTTTATATATAATAAAGGATAATTACAAATATTGACTTTGCTTTACATATAGATAGCATTTGTTGACATTTTTGATGACATGTTACAGACTTGGACCTGGGCGTCCGCCGCTGGGACAAGGATGGGGATGGACTGGTTGATGCCGAGGATCTTAAAGATTACATGCCAGATCCACCCTCACCACAGCAGCTGGAGAAATTCGACTTTAATCACGACGGACTGTACAATATAGACGAACTGGCTGTCGCTCTGGGGTTCCAGCCCTGGCCTAAAGGTATAGTTATAATGATATAACGACTGAAAGCACAAATGCCTGTCATGGATATTTTGATGAAGATACGTGTTTTGAATTTGATGAATCTTTTGTATTGAGAGGTAAAAGTAACCATATAACCTTTTCAGTAATTTGGATACATTACTTCTTTAAATATTTACAGATGTAATTCTGTTGAAAATATTATTGTTTGTCTATAGGAATTTGTCTTTACTTTTATATATGTTTGACCAGATATAAGACAATTCCATGTGATTGAAAAATTTAGATGTTAGAAAAAAATGTTATATATAAACGGGAAGGAAAAGTTAATCAAAATAATAATGTTAATGGTTTTCCTTTCCAGATCAACCCCAGCCTGTAGGTAATGGAGAAAAACACTAGAGAATGTCTACAACATTCCAACGAGATGTTACATGAACAAGAATAGTGTGTGCCATGTTGTAGAGTGGGCATGAAGATGTAGAGGTTATCTGTGATAATTTTTTTGTTTCAATTTTAATCATGTTACATCATGTTGTCTCATTTTGATACACATGTAATAAATAATACAGGCCCTTAGGAAACAGAAGGAGGGATGATTTTGTCAGTATATACTTTCTTTCGATTGAAAGTCAGGCTTATTTACTGTAATGTGCTCTCAGAAATTTTTTGACATAATGTTCAAATACATAACTACATGTACATAAATAGAATACGTATTTATTTGTAGGCCTTCTCAAGTACATCTGATGATCCCCCTTTTTTTTTTAACTTTTAAGAAATTCTGTAGGTTGTTTTCCCAGAAATTTGCTTCCTATGGCCTGTATTAAGATAGTGTTGTAATTATATTTAGTAATAAATATTAGACTCAAAAAGAAAACAAAAAAAAAATTATTACATGTAGTTTGATTTCAGTATTAGCTTTTCTTGCAATTATGATTACTCTTAACCTATCATAATTTGCTACAAGTTTTATTTGTGATTTTTATCAGTTTAAAATCCAGCCTCACTTTTACCTATATAAAAGCTTTTTGAGACAGATAAAACTGGTATTCATGTGTAAATTTCACTTGCAAATAAAGTTTGGTTTATGGTATACAGGTACATGGTAAACATGTATATTATTTCAGTATACAATAAAACATGCTTATAACGAAGCACCAGGGACAAATGATTTCACTGCGTTATAAGCATAATTCATTATAGCCTTTAAGTTTATAATATTTTGAAGTCATCTCATGGGGGAATGAAAATCACTTCATTTTAAGCATCAATTTGTTGTTAGCGTGCTCGCTATAACCACGTTGTACTGTACCTATTTAATGGCTCATTACTTATAATTTCAAAAGATATTTATGCTACTGTTTAAGTGAATTTAAGATTATTTTACGTTTTCTTATAAATTAATTGTCTTCATGAGTTTATAGGTATCAAATTCAAATGAAACAATGTATCATTCCATTCAATTTCTGTTTTATTTTGTTGTGAAAGAAGAAAATTGTAGTTCATATTCATTTCCCTTTTTCCCCACGAAAGCAAATTTTCAATTTTTGAATACCCCCCAATGTGATGAATATTTACATGTAAATATAATCCCATAAACATTGATTAAGTGCAACGTAATAGACCTGTGATTCTGTTGTGCCAATGTGAATGTTCTCTCATCATGTGGTGTATGTATTGTTATTATTAAATTGTTACACCCATGAGGTTCTGCATGTTGTCAATCACGTGTACCGAGCAAAACAGAAAATTTAAATAAAAAAATCTAAAATGTTAGGATGTATTTTTGTACTTAAATCAGGTTTCAGAATATGTAACATTTTGTGATTCAGGTAGCAACTCATTGCAAGTCAATGTTACACATGTTATATTTTGATTTTTGTCAATTTGCTTTTTATGTACCGAGGAATCATACGTTGTCAAAGCATAAAATGTGGAAGTGCATGTGTACTGAGATTAATGTTTTCATGCTTCACTGATCCATTACTGTATTCATCATTACTCAGCTTTGATATGAAGTGTTATGTTTGCTAAATTGTAAGGAAATAGCATCATTGTAGTTGTTAGGTACATGTATTTTCAAAAGATATCATTACAATTGAACTATTTATTTATTTTTTTGTTTGTAACAAAAAAATTATTATGTAATTGATTCGTAAGCTTTGTGTCCTAGATATTTATACATTGTTAACATTATCTACGGAACATACTTTGTTTTCCAAAATATCATCATCTATAATTTTGTGCTCCAGTTCTTGCTTCAGATGCCTGTTTCTGGTTTGTATAGATATCTCCTCTGTCAAATTGATCATGGACGTCTAGTCTTTTGTACTAATAGTAAATTAATTTTGACACATCTTCATTATGGTTCAAATTATAATGATCAACAAAAATTTGTTGTATCTGGAACTTGTCACTTTATACTGCGTTGTAGAACATTATTTTTACTTTGAGAACATGAAATGTAATGAATGGAGGAGCATGTGATGTTTTGAAAAGGCTAGATGAAAATTATATGTTTGTTTTTGTTTATAAAGATGTTGAATGGATCATTGTTTTATATGATGATTAAATTTTGATTGTATGTGATCTTGTGTTTAGACTTTTGTTGTTGTTGAACCGATTTTGGATATATTATGAATGGGGAACATTTATTATTGTTTTCTGTAGAAACTGTTTTTAGATGGCTGAAAATGACAAGTGTACCTTTGTCCTCAATTTGCAGCTTATATTTTCTTTACACATGGTCTATCACTCAGACTTTGTCACTCAGACTTCATTAGTTATGACCTGTGCTTTGATATGAGCATTTTTTTTTCTAACTACCGGTGTCATATATTATATTGAACCCTTTTGAACATTTTGAACCCGGGAAAATTTCGCCAAATTTGGTATACAATATTGAACCTGGGGTCAAAATATTATGGCCATAAAATATTGAATTTTCTCCCTGCCCTTTTAATTTATGAAGGAGGGGGGCCAAAAATAAAATTAATGGCAATCATAAAAATCTTCATTTAATTTTACAGGGAAGGCAGTCAAAATATTATGGCCTTAAAATATTAATCAGCCCTTCACATTTTACAGGGATGCAAAAAATGGCCATAAAATATTTTCATTTACATGCCCTTTTAATTTATGAAATTGCAAGCAATTATTATGGCCATAAAATATCCAGTCCCCTGCCCATTTAATTTTACAGGGAAGGGGGTTTAAAATATTATGGCCATAAAATATTGAGTCCCCCTGCCCTTCTTATTTAAGAGGGAGGGGGTTCAAAATATTATGGCCATGAAATATGGATTCCTCCTGTACTTTAATTTTATATTTTTAATATTTTGAACCCCCCTCCCTTTAGAAAAAAGAATGGCAGGGGGAGTCGATATTTTATGGCCATAATATTTTGAACCCCCTCCCTCATAAATTAAAAGGGCAGGGGGACTCGATATTCTATGGCCATAATATTTTGAACGGTCACCCCCTCCCTCATTAATTAAAAGGGCAGGGGGACTCCATAATTATATTGTGAAAATATATTTCTCTAAAATTAAAATCTTCTTCTATGGCCATGGGTATTAAATAAATTAAACAGGTACAAAGTTATTATGGCCACAATGTTCTGAACTCCTAATGATTAAAAATGAATTTCAAACACAAATTAAAATGGCCAATGTTTGAACCTCCTCCCTCTTAAATGAAAAAGGTGGGGGTTCAAAATTTTATTGAATGTTTTCAATATATTACAGAAAAAGTGAACCCGGGTTAAGCTGCATATTTCCAATCTTGCCAGTTTCAATATATCACAGAGAAAAATAGAAATGTACACCGGTAATAAACAGTTCAGCATGAGAATAACAGGGAAAAAATAATATGTGGCACAGTAAAAGTTGCTGACTGAAGGCAATTTTGTCTGATAGAACTGCATTTTTGCTTTGAAGTCATATGAAAGTACTCACTGACAGATGGAGTTCTGAAAAAAGTAAGCTTGATGTGCATAACTGACCAGAAGAAGAAAATCTGTCCTGCCCAATTATGGCATTATCTGGAAGAGATATGTGGCAGAATTCTCTCTCAATGCTTTAGTTGTTGGGCCATAGATATGTATATTAAAGTTATTTATAAAAGCAATCACTGTCTTTAGACAGTGAATCTTTATACATGACCGTATATATATGCTTATTAAGCCGTCTTAGCTGCTGACATTTTGCTTGACAATATTTACATTCAGGTTGGATTATCAAGAAATTAACTCTCCTTTCAAAGAGTTATCCCAGACAAAACAAATAGAAATGTAAATGCTAAATATTAATAGTGTTTCAAATATTTCAAACAATTGAAAGAAGAGAAGAGGTATATGTAAGTTTCAGCAAAACCCCGTTGTTTTGTACCTCAGATTACAAGGTTGACCAGAAATAACAAGGACTCGCTTGTATTTTACAACATTTTATTAAAAATACAAATAAATATCGAAATTTGTTTCTCATTATAAACAATATACATGTCGCATCTACTTACTGAGATACACTTTGATAAATACCGTCATCTCATGTCTTCTACAAATAATACCCGGTATACCTTTTGATTTTATTAAACTTTACCCAAATCATCTTTTCAATGGATACATTAATTTACAAAAAGCACTTCGAACAAAGTTTTCTTATAAATTAATTGCGTCTTCTATTATCAATCATGTAATACTTAAATCAATATGTCTACCTGTTTGTATGCCACTTGTATGATTTATATATACACTTATTTACTGGATTTGAATTGGCACCAAATTAGAAACTAAATTTTATGAGATTTGCATTGCAAAATCTTTTCCCCAAGTATGGCTGCCATTGCAAAAAAAGCCTTAAATATAGTTATTTTTTTTTTTAGAAAAAAAAACAAACATTTTAAGTACCTACACAATAATATCATATATAAATGCGTGAATTTTATTATGATTCTTACAACTGAATGTACTCAAAATAACACATATCATTCCTAAATATCTATGTCCCGTCTCAGTGGGGAACATAATCTTATAACAAAGTAAATTCAACAACCGAATTACAACATTAATTCACTAAGACGGATTCCAATCAATGAAATTGCACAATGGATAAATGAAAGAAACACTTAATGAAACAAGAGGCCCGTGGGCCTTATAGGTTACCTGAGTATCATACCGTAACAACTTTCCAACAATTGATTTTGGTTCGGGTTTTAAACCAAAGGCCATGAAATTTACAATTTCTAAAGAGGCACCATCGCTAATCATAACTATACAGGTAGCATGCTTAGTACGGTTACTTAATACCCTTCGGCAGGGAACGAATAATGCATTTCAACCAAGTAATAATCAGTAGTACTCCTACCCCACAGGAATCCCTGACCCTGGGGCCATCATTTCACAATTTTGGAAAAGGCACCATTATTTATGTTTGATTAATATCAAAGAGCAGATTTCAAAGCATTAATTCATTTTCATATATAATCATGACCCCCCTCCCCCTGCCGTGTACCCCGGTCCATTCAAAATTCTGAAAGAAGGACACTCGCTCATCATAACATGTAGGAAGTTCATATGCTTAATACCTGGGAACAGAGAAGATTTTGAAACAAATAATGCCATTTCACCATATAATCTATATAGCCAAATCATAACTATGTATGTAGTTACCCGGGAGCAGAGAAGATTTTTTCAAGAAATAATGCAATTTCACTATATAATTAATATAGCCCAACCCTAGCACTAGAATCCCTGGATAATGAATTTCATAATTTTGGTAAAGGACTCAATGCTTAATACAATCTTGACAACAGTTTGACTGCTTGATGTGTGGCCATGAAATTCACAAATGTCCCCCTTCACGCATATATGTCATATGCTAAAATTGGCTAAATGTGTTCAGAGAGGAAGCTGAAAATATTCAAATGTTTACGCACGACGACGGACGAAAACGGATAGCAATAGCTCACCTGAGAAACACAGGTGACCTAATAATACGAGAACTAATTTCTGGGATCGTTTTACAACATGCTAAAATTCAAATTTCTTCACAAGACACTTTTACATAAATAAGTACAATGTTTTATAACACAAAAAATAATATGGTATAACAACATTTGAGATGAACTTTGACACAAACTTCCCAATATCTTTCCACAAAATTTTGGCCAATCCATAAATCAAGTATAAAAGGAAATGAGAAAAATCATTACTTTTTCTCTGGGCATGTCAGCGCAGGAGGAATTTTCCCCAGCTTTAAAGAATGGGAACGTAAAAGGCAATAACAGTCCCCGTTTTGTTGCAAAATTTTTGCAAGCACATTAAAGTACATGGAAAAAAAGTTATAATGCCATATACAGTTTATTATATATATATATATATATATATATATATATATATATATATATATATATATATATATATATATATATATAAAATTAAATATGAAATGGTCGTCCCCATTCCATGCACATTAATGAATGCAATACTAAGTATCTGTTTTATCATTTCAGGGAAATAGCAACAATTTACTTTTTTTTCCAACATTACCTTTACTATAAGAAATGTTCAGTGAAAATTGGCCCCCCCCCCCCCCCCCACTTTTTACCATAGTATAGTGGTATAGTGATATCAAGGAATTGTAGGTAAATGTAGGGAAAACATGGAAAGAGAAAGAGTGAAAGTAACTTCGCAATGAAAAAGCAGCAGCCACCCCCCCCCCCCCCCCCCCCCCCCCGAAATAGGATTTTGAGGTTGGCCAAATTTTAATTCCCTTTTTTTTTTTCTTCTTTTTTTTCCAAAAACGATGCTACGTGCCTGCATTTTATGTTTGAAAAATGGAGACTGTACCTATTCTACGTGAAAATCGCAGGAACATTTCTGAAAATTTGTAATCTTCAACAAATTCTCTTTTATAAACAAACTGAAAAGAAATACTAAGTATACTGATTTTTTTTCTTTTTTGAACACTTAAGGATTACCATAAACTTTTAAAATAGAGAAATATCCTCTCAGATTGAGCAGTTGTCTTTGCTTGTACGTATCCATTCTTTACATCAGACAATTTTCCTCAACAGGGAATTTTAAAAAATCGGATTATAACGGGGAAAAACATGAACAATAAATTAAAGAATATATGTGAAGTCTTCAAAATCAATTGGTTGTGGGTGGGGGAGGGCGAAGATCCCGCGTCATCGGTGGACTAGGGGTATTCCACGGAGGGGGAGTTGTGCCCCTCATTTCGTGAAACATCCACGACGGGGTAGTTGTCGACCACATGCCATTAGATCTGCCCATTTCTGGATAGCCGCCACCCATGCTTGTAGATCCACCCATTGCATTGTCAGTGCAGGTGTCCTTGCAATGGCACGTGGCTATAACTTTGTGTGTAAAGACTTGCTGTATTGGATTGTGTGCACCTTTCATTATTTTACCATCGTCGTTTACTAAAAGTAAAAATATGGACGAATAAGTCAAAGTACTATATACCTTTTCATTTCTCAGGGTAATGAAATGAAGATTCTTTGATTGAACTCACCCATAAAATGTTCAAGAGGTGCATCATATGGCTCAAAGGGACTTCGCCTGCAATTTTTCGGAATCTTCTTCAAATCATCTGCAATAATTTATTAAGCCATCAACAGCCTCAATTTAGGACAGAGAAAAATTTAATCGACGGACAACGTTAAAATGGGAACAAATTTACATGCAGTTGTCTGTGATTATTGTGAAAATACCGATCTTGTAGTGTAGGCTTCCCCCCTAAAATCTTTCCCCCCGAAAAACTGGCTCTGGAGTAGAATCCCCCCCCCCGGAAAAGTAGCTTTATAGTAGGATTTCCCCCCCCCCCCGGAAAACTGGCTCTAGAGTAGGATTTCCCCTAGGATATCCCACACCAGAGTCAATTTTCTAAGGGGAAATCTTACTCTGTATAGTAGTTACAGAGTGCGATTTCCCCCAGTGCCAATTTTCCCCCCAGAGAAATATAATTGCTCTTCTTATGTTTTCAGAATGAGAATTATTAATTAAATATCGATATAAAACTTGTAATTTTCATTCCATAATTAAATACTTTTTCGTTCAAACTCTGCTGAAAAAAAAATAATTTAATTTTCATAAAAAGTTTCACAATAATGGGATCTAAGGAGATTTTATCTGACAAAAAAAAATGTATAGATTAATGAGGATGGTTACAGAAAGGTTTGAACACCATAGTTTACAATTTCTTTATATTTTAGAAAGTTTATCATTTACAACCAAAATAGGTCCAAAAATAAATACCAATCCAAACATCCATTTTTGTTTGTTTCATCATATTTTGAGAATACTTACATTTTTTGAATGCTACCAGGTATATTTTGGCTAAGATTCCATAAGAATATTGCGTCTGTGGTTTATATTGACTTTATAACAAAAGGGAAATTCTACTCTGAGAAAGAAAGAGGGGAAATTTGGTTCTGGTGTAAGATTTCCCCTCGGGGGGAAATCCTAGTCTAGAGTACGATTTCCGGGGGGAAAGCTGGCTATGGGGGAAATCCTACTCTACAACACCGGTCTACAAATCAGAAACAAACATAATGCAACTGACAGGTACAAAGTTTAATCCCTAGTAGCAGACCTTAATATCAATACCAGTGTATCGATATACTATTATTAATCCTGTTGTCTGTCAAGCAAAGGATTCTAAAGGTACTTCGTGGTTAACTTCTTCCTATCTCCAGTTTAACTTTTGACCTTGTGACTTAAAAATCAATAGGGATAATCTAATTTTAAGGAAAACCAATGTACAAAGTTTGATGTTAATCAAGCAAAAGTTTTTCAAGACAGCAAATAGACATATTCCTTTATGATTTTGACCATGACATTTGGCCTTGTGATCTCAAAATCAAGAAAAGTCATCTTCTGTTTGGGGGTACTGTACCAATTTGATATGAAAAAATTATATGACTTGACTCAATTTTAAACTGACAAGGGTCAAAATTCAACACCTTTGGTCTCTGTATTAGGCTTTGAAAAATGACCCACCCCCCTTTCAGGTCTCTTCTCCATCCGAGTCAAAATTCTACATTACACCGACCAGCAGGTGCAAAGCAATAATTAACCTGTATCCTTGTTTTCATGGATGACGGGCATAAAAAGAGTACCAGTGTACTATTAAGATATATTAATCAGTACGTATAAAAATGTTATTTCAGACGTACCAAGTTTCATCCCTTTTTCCATAAGAGATTTACGGAGAAGCGCTTTCCTGACTACTCTATGGCCACCTTTAAGCAAGAAGACTCGAAGCATGTTACCGCTGCACATGCCCATTTTAAGTTTCTCTTTCATTTGCATCGCCTGTTTCATCTCCTCGCCGTCCCATCCATTGGCAAACATCAGGATAGCCTTGGATACTATGCTGACCTGCTGGTCAAAAGGACAAGATGACATCTGCCAAAAACTGCTTCCTGTGTCATTAGACATGGATTCCATTTGCTTGTTCATCAGGTATTTTGTCATCTTTACTAAGGGCTTGGCTACATTTTCAGGTAGAATGTTTTTCATGTGAAGGTAAAAAGTTAGAATCTGAACCGCTTTGGCATACTTTAATACCTCCATACCGTACGTAGTAGTTAACATTGGATACATTTCACCCATATGGTTCATCTGTGCAAGACCTCTCAGCATCTGACCGTACATTAAACGTGTCGTATTTGCAGGAAACTGTTCATTCAATATCTGGGATTTCAATAACAATAAGTTGATACTTTGAATCATAGCCAGCCCAGTATAAGCTCCCATAATGAGTGATTTGTTGACTGGGTCTGACTCAGAATCCCCCCACATCTGCAAGGATTCCATTTCAGAACCCACATCTTGGTAAGTTCCCATTGCATTCATTATCCTTTGTAATCTGTTCTCAAGTCCTTCCATAGGCCTGGGCTCTGGTACCATCATTTTCTGTAGTTTCATCATAGTATCTTTTTCTGCTCGGCCAACAAACATACAAAGTCCCTCGTTTGATTGTGAGTAGAGTCCCAACAGATGGCTCTGCATGAGTTGAGACATTCCAGCATTTACCAGTTCTTTTCTAGTTTCCATGTCCATCATACGCAATTCAGTCCCCTTCCATTCATCGTCCATGCTCTTAGAAAATAATACAATGGGAATGAAACATTAATAAGCAGTGGCACCAATTTACTGAACACAATACAGTAATTTTTTTATTTTTATAAAAAATATGCAAAGTTATGCAAAGGGAAAAATCGGCAAGGTTTATTGATTTACATCAACTTCACAAGAATGTCACGTTGATTAACTTAGTACTCACATTATACTCGTAGAATGTCATGTTGCTAAATAATGCCCATGTTTTAGTATCGACGGGATTCGGACACAACACGCAGTTATCCATTTTGACATCTAAATAAAGAAATCAATTTTAATTTCATGTAAAGACGATGAAGACAACTTTCATTTTGTTTGTTTGTTTTACTCTTTTTTATTTTGCTCAATTTTTATGCTTTTGGTTCTCTTACTACTTGAGCACGTGACATAAACTGGCACTGTTGTAAAATCGTTGCATTCATCAACGTCGTTGTTTATCTTTAGAGGGTCGTAAAAAATGACCAATTCTGCGTCTCCTGTAGACAAACGTCAGAAACAAAATTAGCAGTGTACAGGAGTTTCAAATAAAAGAATAACATTTTAAGACCCCCCCTCCCAAAAAAAAAATAATAATAATAAGTAAACATTTAAAATTTTAAGGCCAAAAAAAAAAAAAATAATCACCGCAGACTGAGGTTTTTTCCGGAATATAATGTCCATGTAAGTGAGGAACTATGTTAAATTCTTCTCCCGGCTTAATTCCTGAAAGGCAATTTGCGAGAAATGTTTAAAATGAAACAAAATTTTATTTTAATTCTGTTCAAAATTAAAATTAAACAAATTTAGATTAGATCAAATTATTTTAAACGAAAGGAGTGTTCGTTTTGTTTACCATCTGTAATGGCAATATGGCCGATGAGTTGGTCGATGATTGTGTAGGTAGGCACCAAGCATTTCCCGCCCTGGTCATGCATCATCTGTTTTTGAGTTGTGAGATAGACAGCTACCATGTGAGGGGTCTCCATTGTCGCATTAGGTAACATTCTGTTTCCAAGGTTACGAAGAACTGCCTAAAATACAAAAATTAGTAAATTTTATAGCTACAGTGTACGCAATAAAATACGATATTCATACTCTTTGGTTACGGGTTTGGCGATAATTTTTATACTCTGCTTTGAACTAACAAACTTTGATCATCCTGAGAAATGATATGATTTTCTAGTTGCTTCGTTACAAAATAATGTATTAACAAAAGATCATTCATTAAACCTAGTGAGTGTGACCTCATCAAAATAATCCGTTGCAGGTTTTTTATTTATCCTCTGAATTTAATGACAAAAATATCTTTATAATTTTTCTCAAACCAATGACCTTGACCAAGTTGTTTCCACTTTGGGTCAAGATAAAAAACAAATTTGCAAGTCGCAGCAACCTTTATTATATGCCAGTTAATACACTGCAGAGTACGATTCTCAAACAAATAAACTTAATAATGTAGTGAATATACCCCGGGATCTTTCGATCCAGGGGCATAAAAACTATGTGTGCCACATATATTCACAGAATACTGGGCTTTAAATGAATGCTATAATTACTTTGTTGAAGTCCATGTACTGTGAAAGCTGCGACAGAAGATCGTTGGAGTACTTCCCGGTGTACAGCTGTGGTTTCACCGGAGTCTTCATTGTGGCATTAATATGGAGACTTATATCTATGTCTGCAACATCAAGCAAGATTTATAAATTTACAGACAAGGTTAAATAGATCTAAATGAATTTTCTAAACTTGTTTTGGAATTGAGATTTTGCAAATAGTTACACAAATGGGACGTGTTCAGAACAGAAACCTATATAATCTTCTCGATTGATCATGTCTTGAAAGTAATGTCACTTTTGAAAGTAATGTCACTTTTTAATTCGTTATTAATATCAAATATACATTTATTTACAGGTTTGCAAGTGCATACAGACACTTCTGAGGAATGATCATTACAGGTTACCGCAAAACACTCTAGAGATCATGTTCGTACTTGCAAGATACCGGGTAGTTCACCTCAACTAGTCAGTTCCATAATGAAATTTAATGCAAAAGAAAGGCATAAAAGTGACAACTCCATGGAAAAAAATATCAGTTATAACTTATAAATTAATATTCTGAAACCGTGATGCTTTTTTGTGTGTATTTATGAATATGATTGATATACATTGTTGCCTAATCACATACAGGGATATCTAATGTTTTCATAGAAATTAACAAGATGTGTTTGTGAAACACTGATGCCCCCGTATGGCGTGGGTTAAAGTTATTTAAAGTAAAGTCAAACTCCAAAGGTCAAGGTCAAAATTGTTTGTACCATACACCTGTAAAATTTGCAAGCCCTAGTGCTTTAACTGTTCAAAAGGTATGGCCAAGGTAAAGCGAGTCAAACTTTAAGGTCAAGATTAAAAGGTAAAAGTATGTGTACCCAATGAAAGGTCTTGTCACAATGAATAAATCTGGGAAATATGAATCCCATAGTCCCACCTACTCAAAAGTTATGAGCAGTGTTCAAGTTTTTACAAACAAACAGACAGACAGGCAGGCAGACAGACGGACAGAGCAAACATGTATACTCCCGAATCTTCGATAATGGGGGCATAAAAACCTTTTCTTCGTCAAATGCCTCAAGTATTTTAATACTAGAGGCCCACAGGCTTTAACGGTCACCTGAGTATAATGTATAACGATCCATAGATTGAAACAAAATGAGCTGAAAAATAAAGCTATGTTGCCCAACAGCAAGAGAAATGGGATCAGCAAAATATTAATTTGTCCTCAAAAACAAGTCTTTAAGTTGAACTTTTTATTTGCCTGTATTTTAACCTAAAATAGGATCGATGCATATGGCTTTATGGAAAAAAAATGTTTAAATTAACAATATCATTGTGTTAGTAGAAATATAGCCTATATATATAACAAAGAAAGACATTTTATTGTTTACATTTATACCTGTATAAAAAAAATTCGAAGTTAAATTGAAAATGAATATTGTACTATAGATGTCATTGTACGCATAAATGATGGAACCGCCATAGTTCAAGAAATCTATGCAGGGGGCTTGCTTAGTGTCGTTTATGACTGATTAACGGCAATGGTCTTTAAAACAAATAAAGGAAATAATATTCAGAGGATGTAAATATGTCATCTTGAATTTCTTAAAAGAATGGAGGCGTACAAGGCGAGGATAATCCCCCGCTCTGAAAAAAACATTTTTCAATTCTAAAAGGAGTATTTTTTCAAAATTTTCTGGTTTATATCATCTTTTACATATCATTGTTTTGATAATCTTTTAATAGTTTATTTTTTACTCATGTTTTTAAGGCATTTGAAAACAAAAAAAAAAAAGAAAAAAGCTTCGTGTATGACTCGAACTCTCTCCATAGCGCAGGTTTGGTCCAAGACCGACTGCTTTAACCACTTTGCTACGAAGTATATGAATTATCGACGTCAGTCAGTGTGATTTAAATGGACGGATTTGTTGAAACATACATTTTTTCAGAAATTTTTGATTTTCATATAGAATGGGTTCAGATTCCAATTTTTGGACAAATGAAATAGATTTCACATTTACATTTCCATCATTTAAGCGTTCAGGAAGAATGGACACTTGACCCATTCATGTTCAAAATTCGTTTTTTGTAGTTCTGTTAAACCCATTTTCCACTAAATATGCTTAACTATCAACTTTGAAAATAAAGATTATCAAATGATAAGTCGTTCAGTAAAATAATATGATAAAACGTTTTGAAGATGACATTACTGAGACCATGATTTTAGAAAAATATAACTTTTTTGTGAATTTTGAAAATTGAGACACATTTTGTCTCAGAGGGGGGATTGTACGAGTACACGCCTTATACGCCCTCTTTCTTTAAATTCATCTCTTGATTCTCTTCAAAGACAGCCAAAAATAAACTTCGAAGAACACCTTACGACTACTGGATACTCAATCAAAATTTATCTGTGCCATCTACGGTATGTACATGTGTAGTTACCTGAGTTGTCACACACTCTTATCGCCCTCTCGTACTCTGTTGCAATAACCTTCCCATAGTTCTGCACCTGAGCTCTGAGGTATCCTGTAAAGTAAAAAAAAACGTGAATAGATAATCATCAGAAAAACAAAAATATTTATACAGTTCATTCACCAAAAAGAAAAAAAAAGATTTTTAGCCGTCATTTTAGGGACTTCATATTCGCCAATCTAAGTACAATTTGGTGAAATAATGGTTGATTATTTATGCATTTGAGATACTCTGTCACATGAAAAAGGGATGTATTCAATGATCAGTTCTCACCACTTCCGCATGGCAAATGAGCATTATCTATCACCATGGAAACTTCTGATGGTTCCCACGTTGTATTTTTTGAATATCCACCAATAGCTATCGTAAAAAACGAGAAATTAACTAAACAACTGTCCGAATATTCATAAATATTTGAACACTGACAGAAAAATAACCAAGGTTAAAAAAAACACTTACTAAATTTCATGAGCATCGATTCGTTGCTTTTACTCATAGCAGTAGTGTTTTCCAGAAAGCAGATTGTGATTTCCGCCATGTTCAGGTCATCGTCCGCGACCATTGACAGTTCTGGACTGTCGCCACAGATTTTCTTGCAAAAAAAAGTGTGTTTGTCAGTGTTGTGGGCTTGTAGAATATTCATGTACAACTTTATTTCAAATAAATAATACAATGCAATTCCAAACAAATTTTTTTTTACAATTTATACGAGCAATATTCATAATATTACCATTATGTCGTAGCCATTTTCAACTGTAGCAGCACCATCATTACCCTGACAGCTAAATGTTAAATTAACTGGAAAAAGAATATCTTATAATTATTGATTTCTTATGTTTACGTATGTGGGGATTCATTTAATAACCTAAAAATTGAATACGAGCTCTCTTCTGTAAAGTGAGATGTACTTTACTTGGTTCTTTACTGTTATAATGAATACATGCTACAAAATCACGAGAAAAGGGTATATTGTACTTTTTCAGAGAGCATATTATATTTGTTTTGGGGTTTTTTTTGTCCAAGGTTACACAGTTTTTTTAATTACACAAAGATAGCGCTAACAGCAGATGTAATGTGCGTAATTGAAAAGTGAAAATTTGATCGACGTGTCACATGAAATTTTATAATTTTTTTAATTTATCGGGTTCCGGTGCAACAGGAAAGGAAAATATTTTCCCGAAATTGAGCTTTGATTTACTAAAAAATAACTTGAAAATTTGCCAGATCAGACATTTGGTACAAAATGGTACATTTTTCTAAAAATGTCCATAATTTTGAAACGTTATTTGTGTGTTACACAAAGACGGTACTTTTTCCCAAAAAAATCCAAATGTGTAATTTTTGTCCTTTTTAAATCATCTAAATTTTTTTTAAAGGTTTATAAAAGAAGTGCAAACAACCATTTATTTTGTCAGTTTCGTTCTGATGTATTAAAATTGCACAAAGATAGCGAAATCTATCTTCTACTATAATGTACATGGTGTGCATTAAATATTTTAGGTGTTTATTTTTTGTAAAATTATGTTATACTATAGTACCCCTAAAAAAATAGATGTTACAATATTACATGGTCTTTCAAACTAATTGAAAAAAAAAACTTATGGACGTGTTTGTGAGCTAAGCCAACCAAATCATGGACACTTAAACCATAAATGTTTCGTAAAAATGATTCCTGCAGATCACACGCCAAATGCACCCATCTTCTTTTGAAAAAAAAAACTAGAGGTACTGTGAGCAATGAGCTCACTAAATGATACCCAACCCCCATGCCTCACATATGAATATAATGGCAATGTCCATGTTTTGCTCTGGGAAACCCAAAATATGTGTCGGATCAAAAAGTAAAATAGAAAGTGCACAATGGCAATAAGTAGTAAAGATTCTGTGAAAGTTTCATCAAATTTCATTCAGTGGTATGAGAGGAGTTGTGGATAAAAGATGGGTACCCCAAAGCGTAACAGATCGACGGACGGATGGACAGACGGACGGACATACCGATTACTATCTACCCTCCCGCTTTTCAAGCGGGGGGTCGGGGGGAATAAAAAATCAAAACACGGGAATTAAAGAAAGTGTTACAATTTTCGACTCTGAATACAGAGTCTACATTACGTTGAAAAATCCCCCGAATTCGGGAGTTTGTCTTAATCACCCCCAAAGGAAGTGTGGTATTCCAGCTAAATTACTGCTCATCAGAAATTGTCCAAACTAGACAATTCTATTTCGGGGATGGTGGGGGTGTGACTAGGTGGAATGTTCTTCACATTCATTTAGGTATTACCCTGTTATTTGCCAATAACATTAAGTTCCACATATTAGAACAAACTTTAGTCCGAGAGTCATGTGGCAACATTCATACCCACATTGCCCTGATTTGAATATTCTGCCACTAAAGTTTAAGATCTTCAACAGTAAATCGTTTGGAAAAATATGCCCAACCCTCAGTCCTATCTTGATACAATGTGTCAGTATTCTGATCCATCAAAACATGTTCTATATACCCAAATACATAATTATCTTTGAACTGTGTAGATCATTCGGAGGACGATTCGAATAACTTCCTTTACTTATTAAAGCATATATAAATATTTGGTAGAAAATATATCAACCATCCACTGTCTCGAATAATTAAGTATGGTTGATTTATTCAGAATTAACATGAGGAAAGCAAAATTAAAGAAACGTATAAAAAGGTTGTGCCAAGTTTATGTTGGAAAAATACGATTCGTAGACGAAAAACATTCTTGGATCATCATATTTTTACTAGATTTTCCTTGGATGCATTGATTCTGTATCTAATAATTAAGGTGAAAAGAAAGAACCGACGGATAATCCAGAAATTAAAATCGATTTTGCAGTAGCTGTAACAGTTATTCAATTCTCAGGTCATTATGTGGGATCTCCATTTTGCAGTAGCTGTTAAAGTTATTTGATTCTCAGGTCATTATTTGGGATCTTCATTTTACAGTAGCTGTTAAAGTTATTTGATTCTCAGGTCATTATTTGGGATCTTCATTTTACAGTAGCTGTTCAAGTTATTTGATTTTCAGGTCATTATTTGGGATCTTCATTTTACAGTAGCTGTTACAATTATTTAATTCTCAGGTCATTATTTGGGATCTTCGTTTTGCAGTAGCTGCATGTAAGAGTTATTTGATTTTCAGGTCATTATTTGAGATCCTCATTTTGTAGTAGCTGTATGTTACAGTTATTTAATTCTCAGGTCATTATTTGGGATCTTCATTTTGCAGTAGCTGTAACAGTTATTCAATTCTCAGGTCATTAGTTGGGATCTTCATTTTGCAGTAGCTGTTAAAGTTATTTGATTCTCGGGTCATTATTTGGGATCTTCATTTTACAGTAGCTGTTCAAGTTATTTAATTCTCAGGTCATTATTTGGGATCTTCATTCTACAGTAGCTGTTACAGTTATGTAATTCTCAGGTCATTATTTGGGATCTTCGTTTTGCAGTAGCTGCATGTAAGAGTTATTTAATTTTCAGGTCATTATTTGAGATCCTCATTTTGCAGTAGCTGCATGTTACAGTTATTTAATTCTCAGGTCATTATTAGGGATCTTTATTTCGCAGTAGCTGTTACAGTTATTCAATTCTCAGGTCATTATTTGGGATCTTCATTTTACAATAGCTGTTAAAGTTATTTAATTCTCAGGTCATTATTTGGGATCTTCATTTTGCAGTAGCTGCATGCTACAGCTATTTAATTTTCAGGTCATTATTAGGGATCTTCATTTTGCAGTAGCTGCATGTTACAGCTATTTAATTTTCAGGTCATTATTTGGGATCTTCATTTTGCAGTAGCTGTTACCGTTATTTAATTCTCAGGTCATTATTTGGAATCTTCATTTTACAATAGCTGTTAAAGTTATTTGATTCTCAGGTCATTATTTGGGATCTTCATTTTGCAGTAGCTGCATGCTACAGTTATTTAATTTTCAGGTCATTATTTGGAATCTTCATTTTGCAGTAGCTGCATGCTACAGCTATTTAATTTTCAGGTCATTATTTGGGATCTTCATTTTGCAGTAGCTGTTACCGTTATTTAATTTTCAGGTCATTATTTGGGATCTTCATTTTGCAGTAGCTGCATGCTACAGTTATTTAATTTTCAGGTCATTATTTGGAATCTTCATTTTGCAGTAGCTGTTACAGTTATTTAATTTTCAGGTCATTATTTGGAATCTTCATTTTGCAGTAGCTGCATGCTACAGTTATTTAATTTTCAGGTCATTATTTGGGATTTCCATTTTGCAGTAGCTGTTATACAATTATTTATTTTTCATGTCATTTTTGGGAAGTTCTAAGTTTTTTAATTCTTTGGTCATTGTCTAGAAATCACCTATGTATTTTTGTCCTTTTAATTTTCAAAATTATGCATGTTCTGTCATATGATACACCATGCTGGTGATTTATACAATATAATACACATTTAACACGATACTAACAAATTTTATTAAATATCATCCTTATACAATGTGTTTGTGCAAGAGTGATATAAGTACTTTTGAAGGTTTTACGAAAAACAGTCATTAAACTTTTATGCTTAAAGAACATACTGCACATGGATAATGTGCAAATGTACTTTTTTAAACCGATTTTGATAAAAGTTTAATAAGAATAAAAACAAATATCAGATTTAAGCTGATAAAAGGTAAAAATATCAGATGTCTTTTTCTTAAATGTATAAAAAACATAAAATTATTTTATCACAAGTGCCCATCTAATATCACCCCAATGTATAACATAGTCTGGAATATCTGATGTTTTTCAGATTTTTTTTTTACGATTTTGATATTTTAGTGCCTGGCACGTTAAATATCAAAACCGTAAAAAGGCCTGGAAAACTTCAGATATTTCGAACTATGTATAACCCACCCACCTCCTTTGCTGACCTTCCGAGGTAAATCTTTCAAATGTACCATCCTGGTCACGGCACCAAATGTAAAGGGAGAAAATGTTACAGACCATACCAAAACTCTTCCATGACATATCTTTCAATTGTAAGTTGTAACATTATATCTAGACAAATGCTCTACAAAGTACTACCAGAATATGAGTTAAAAGGTTGGTAGCTCCATTTTGAACTACCTATCGAAACCGTTTCGCCTATAATTTTAAACTCTGAAAACTAGTATGCGAGTTCCATTCGCCCCGCCAACTTTATTACCTTGCTCACACCATATTAACTCTCAGTTCAGTGATACTATTAGGAGGAGCCTAAGTTGTTATCTCTGTGGAAAGGGGAGATCTTTAAAGAGGTAGGTATGTAGCGTCAAATGAGTTCGATCGCCAGTGCGATTTGTCTTTTTTCGTGAAGATGCAAATCAGACTCACCCATGGTAATCTTTCAATTGCAACATCCTGGTCACGGCACCAAATATAAAAGGAAGGGAGAAAATGTTACAGGCCATACCAAAACTCTTCCACGACAGATTTTTTAAGGTCATGACACCAAATGCAACAGGGAGGGAGAAAATCTAGACAGGTGTTCTACCAATGTACCAACCGCTAGGTTTCCTGAACTCTCTGGCTACCGGTGAACAAAGCTGCCAGAACGCAAAACTCTCTCCCCCTCCCTTTATGGTCCTGGATCATTATGCATGTATTGCTTACCGTGTTTTCTAGTAAAATATAATGTTGATATCCACCAACTCAAAAAAGGAGTCATTTCATACAATCAAATTTTACATATACTCTATGTTAAAAAATTTCTGCCAGCACTGTGATTTCTCTCTCATATCATAATGATTTTGTGATTATGGTCAGCTGTTACAATAGTAGCATGTAAAGACTCATTGGTTCAATAAATTGAAACTAAAGGTTTTTTTTTTAAATTGTTTACCGGTAAGTGACTGTTTTATTACAGACAGATAAACATTATCATTACTTCAGTTATCTTCAGTTAATCTATATTTTACATCTGTAAACCATAATTAACGCGATAATCTAGGAGAACCGGAGTTGAAGTACGTTAAAGGTAAAAAAAAAGGTGTATGCTTTGTGAAAAATGTAGAATTCGAGAACAGAACTGTTCGGTGTATAAAACTTACAAAAATGAAAGATCATAGCTTTGGACAGTAGAGTAATGATGAATTCGTGGCAAAGTAGCTGATACAAGAAATATACTGTATGTAAAAAAGAGACGTTTCCAAAGGTTGAATTAGACAATTATTGAATAAAATAAATCTTTAATTATAAGAAAAAAAAATACACGCTGTTTTCCCTATAATAAGTTGTGTACATTCATATCTGGATTATTTAACAAATTACGTAACAGTGAATTAAAACACTATAGTCCTGCTTACAACTAGATTGTGTTAAATATACGTTGAATATTATAAAACAACTTAAAGCATATTCAAATTCTTGTGTACCGATAGAATTATATTGAAAATACGTGTTTAATATTTAGATTTAATATTCTGCTTCACACAAAGTGCCATGAGGAGGCTCTGTAGAATTGATAAAGACTTTTCAATATAAAACTTGAAATCGGAAACCTGTTGCACGATCTTTTATCAATTAGCACAATTGTTAACAAGTATTTGATGTATTCCTATTCTTGCAAAAGGGTATGGAAAAAATCAAATGGTTTCCCGAGAAAAATTGTTATTTTAATTTTAAAGAAGAAAAATTAACATTTTTTCTCACCTTGCAATCCATTTGAATATACAAAGAATCCCCAAACCAAGATAAGATGCGGGATGAAATGAATTTCTCTCTTCATCGTCCTTTCGCAGTTGTTTTGACTAATTTTCCATACCTGTAGAAAGCAAGTTCTTGTCAGGTGCTATACCGGTATCTGTCGCCATGACAACCGGAGACTGACAGCCAAGCCCATTTGACCAGCATGCAGTAGCCGGCTGATATTGATCAGTAGACTTGACAGTAGTTACAGTACATACAATAGAGTAGACACGTATAAGTAAAAAAACATTGTACAGGTAATAACCTTGGAATTAAAGCTTTGTAGTATAGTATCCTCTTGCAGAAAAAATCAAAAAAAAAAAAAAAACAAAACAAAAAACAAAAAACAAAACAAAAACAAAAAACAACAAAAAAAAAAACTGGAGAGAAAGACAAATAAGGCGTCTATTCTACATATTGGATAAACACTCTGTGTAGGGTTCAGTACATCATACATGTATTTTATTTTAAAAAGCAAAATATTGTGCTTTTTTTTGAATATCTCACTTTTCCTTGTCAGCATAAAATATCTTGGTGAAATCAATTGGAAGGAAATAATTTTTACGTTGGTATTCTGTACTTTATATAATAATGAATCCTTCGCTCTGCTCTGTTACATAAAATCTGTAAAATTCTAACAAAATGCTTCTTTTAAAGATTTTTTTTTACATAATACCGTTATATGTGTAGACTACATTTGGATACTATGAATATGACTAGACCACGTACGTCTTTCCGTCGCGTTTTGCGCTTAGCTCAGTTCAAAGCTTACTTTCAAAGAAAATATATCTAAGCTATTTTTATCAAACTTTATAAGCTGATACAAATTGATGAGGGGTTTTCAACTGCATCACATTTTAAAACTTGTTTTCAAGTGATCCTGACCTGTTTTTATAAATTGGTGTTTAACTGTTTTTAATAAACCATTGGAGATTTTCACACTTCAAATGCTGATACAAACGGATGTAAACTTTTCAACTGCATTTAACACTTTTTGACCTTGACATTTCGTTTTACCTTCACCTCACTTTTCTTAAAACTAGTATTTAGTCCAATTTCATTGAAATCATTCAAAATACTGTTTTCAAACTTCATATATTAATATATACTGATGTAAACTACTAGTAATCAACATACTAGTACCTTTACCCTTTTTTTTTTACCTAGACCTCAATTTTTAGTGAGTGTTTAACCCAGTTTTATACTGGTGTAAGCTTTACAACTGCTTCAAAATGTTCACTTTGACCTTTCATTTTACCTTGACCTCACTTTTCTTAAATTTGGTTTAGCTCTTATCACTGAAAGGTATGAAATTACGACAATCAAATTTTTTCTGCAGAAAATTCTTTCATCAAAAATCATTCTGAATAAAAAAAATCATAAATTGTTCTCTATGGGTTTGAACCCATGTCCTGAGGATTAGAGTTTCAGTTTTACTCAGAGACTAACTACTACACTATACAGCTCATGATAATAGCGGCATTTTCTTGTGGTAAAAGTGTTGTGTGCAGTGAGTAGCCTTTGAAATTAGCCCTTCATAATAACTTATGTGTAACAATTTCATGTGCTTTCTCATTTCTTTATTCACATATCAGCTGTAAAAAAAAAAACATTTTCTGTCATAAAAACATTGATTTTCTCCTTAAAAATAAAATGACTTTTCATGAATATGCTGCATCATTCACATAAATAGGTTTCAGTCACATCAAGTTTTGTGCTTCTTTTCTTTCATCGTCTGCTTACTGTTTTCTCGTCTTCTTTTTGTGAGGGGATTACGAGGGTCGTAGATCTCATAACGATCAAGTTCTTGTACGTTGGCATCTATCACTTTTTTCTTTCTTTCTTCATCTTCAAAAATTAACTTGTGAGTCATCCTGAAAGAACAAATTAGATGCAGAATTAAAATTGCTTTCCCTGATCAGATATGATTCTTTGCCAGATCAAAAATACAGTAGAACTTGTATAACATTGATATTGTATAAACTGAAATCTTGTCTTTCACAATGAAAACTTTTATTTTCTTTTATTGAATTTCATCCTATAAAATGGTGTTTAAATAATATGGAATGCTTTCTGTTTGGAATCTGAACAAAAGAAAATTCACTGTATACAGTGCATTTATTTTTCTTCCCATTGATTAATTTTAAAATTTCTTAAATGAATCTTCTCTTACTGACAAAATAAACCATTTTCTGAAACCTTAAGTAATAAGAAAATAAAATTTGTTTTCTAAAAAATCTTTAATCATGATATGTGTACAGGTAGTCACCTTGATTAGACATTAAATACTATTGGTAGCAAACATCCTGTACTGTTTTATCTTTGCAGATAAAATGGCTGATTCGTGTTCTTACTATAAAAACCAGAAGTCTCTGTCGAGACTGAAGCTCTACTGGTTTGTACTTATAGCAAAAGAAGAGAAAGGTACTTAGGCAGTTGGGAATTGAAACTTTTCAACAGCAATTAATAGAAAAATGATCCTTGATTAAGTCTCTTTATGTTTTAGTGTAGTCTACTTGCATGCCACATTACATTATAATCAGACTAAAACTGTATTTGGAGTAGCATTTTGAGAGTATTAAACAGAAATTTCTATTTTTAGTAACCGTGGCAACACCGTTCATTGAAGTGAAAAACTATACACAGAATTATGTACCTTAGTGTAGTCTACTTGTGTGCCAAGTTATACTGAAATCAGACCAAAACTGTAGGAGGTGTAGCATTTTGAAATAATTTCAAAGAAATTTCTATTTTTAGTAACCACGGCAACACCGTTCACCGAAATCAAAAACCGATATACAGAATTATGTATCTTAGTGTAGTCTACTTGTGTGCCAAGTTACATTGAAATCAGACCAAAACTGTAGGAGGAGTAGCATTTTGAAAGAATTTCACAGAAATTTCTATTTTAGAACCACGTCAACACAGTTCAACGAAATCAAAAACTGATAAATAGATTTATGTACCTTAGTGTGTTCTACTTGTGTGTCAAGTTATATTGAAATCAGACCAAAACTGTAGGAGGAGTAGCATTTTGAAAGAATTTCACAGAAATTTCTATTTTTAGTAACCACGGCAACACCGTTCATCGAAATCAAAAACCGATATACAGAATTATGTACCTTAGTGTAGTCTACTTGTGTGCCAAGTTATATTGAAATCAGACCAAAACTGTAGGAGGAGTAGCATTTTGAAAGAATTTCACAGAAATTTCTATTTTTAGTAACCACGGCAACACCGTTCATCGAAATCAAAAACCGATATATAGAATTATGTATCTTAGTGTAGTCTAATTGTGTGCCAAGTTAAATTGAAATCAGACCAAAACTGTAGGAGGAGTAGCATTTTGAAAGAATTTCACAGAAATTTCTATTTTTAGTAACCACGGCAACACCGTTCATCGAAATCAAAAACCGATATACAGAATTATGTATCTTAGTGTAGTCTACTTGTGTGCCAAGTTACATTGAAATCAGACCAAAACTGTAGGAGGAGTAGCATTTTGAAAGAATTTCACAGAAATTTCTATTTTTAGTAACCACGGCAACACCGTTCATCGAAATCAAAAACCGATATGTAGAATTATGTATCTTAGTGTAGTCTACTTGTGTGCCAAGTTAAATTGAAATCAGACCAAAACTGTAGGAGGAGTAGCATTTTGAAAGAATTTCACAGAAATTTCTATTTTTAGTAACCACGGCAACACCGTTCATCGAAATCAAAAACCGATATACAGAATTATGTATCTTAGTGTAGTTTACTTGTGTGCCAAGTTATACCTATGTTTTTGTGATGAAAATCAGCGCAATCATTTATAAACACCGATAATTGCTTTATTCAGTTGTTCTAAATTTCAAGCGAAAGTCTCATTACGTCACGCGTGAACTGTCATGGCTGCTGAAGTAAACTAGCAGGAAACATGCAGAGTTATTTTACAAGTTTTTCGCATTTAACGGGGTCTGTTGTTGACAGTGAATAAAAATTTCGTCTTATTAGAAGTAAGTTGAATGTAAAAATAATTTATTTTGCCTGCAGTCGCTCCTATTAAAAAAAAATATTTGCACCATTACGGAGATGCTATGGAATTGTAGCCCTCTCCAGAAAATATCAGATAAAAAAAATCGGAGAGGGCTACATTATTGCAGCTATCTACTTGTGTGCCAAGTTATATTGAAATCAGACCAAAACTGTAGGAGGAGTAGCATTTTGAAAAATTGTTTACAGACGGACAGACAGACAGACGGACGGACGACGGACGCATTACTATCGCATAAGCTCTTCTGGTCTCTGACCAGTAGAGCTAAAAACCCACTAGTATCTTATTACACAGAATACACTGAAACTATGTCAGCATTTTTCAGGTCACTGCTAGTCTTCATTAGAAATATATGTATACAGTATCAGTTGATTTGCTCTTAGGTCAATGATGTGAACTACTTAAAAACTGAACTTGTTCTGTTTTGTTATTTAAAGTCACATTAGTTTATAGTTGAACAACAATGACTTTTTTTTTAAAAAATAAAAACTTGTTAGTTCAGGTCTATAACAAACACTTTTGAATGTTCATCAGCATACAACAATCTAAAGTGGGAGAAAATATGATTATTGAAATTAAGCTAAACAAATTCAAAATTCTATAAAAAATTCCCTTGCCTTTAGTGCTTCCATGAAGTACATTTTACAGTGTAAAATGATGAGTACTGAAGAAATTTTACAGTTATTTACCATGACATATCCCCTGGGGCCTCTGCAGTTTCAGTCTCCCCTTCTGGGGCCTCTTCCTCATCACTGTAGTCACCTGAGATTCTTTTGACAGAGTCCAGCTTGGACTGGAACTTTGCCAGCAGGGCGAGTGTAGCTTCCTCCCTGCCACTCCCTTTCTTTACTTTCGCTTTCTTGTATTTTTCTCGCTCTGCCTTGTAGGCTGTTATGACCTCATTCTTTTCCTCTGGTTCTAAAATGTCAATTTTCTCCTGGTTATAAGTACATGTATCTCTGATTAATCAAACAGGTTTTTAATCAGCTATTCATTTCAAATTTATGACTGGCTTTCATCAAAGACAATAATGTTTCTGCTGATCATGTTTCTAATTTTTTTCCCTTCTCTTTTGCAATTTTGTTTCTAACACAAATTAGGCCAAATGATTTCCTCCTGATTTTTCAAGGTAGACGAAAATCAAGGTAACCAATTCTTTTCAGATTCAAGAAAGAAAAAACCAATAAAATAAGCATATGTTACATAGTCCCCTGAAAATTACACGAAGACAAACCACTTTGCTTTTCAGTACCAAATAAAATCCCTTATATGGGGAGTGCAAATTGACTTTTCATTGTGATTTTGAAGACTGCCTTAAAACTCAAAGAAACATATAAATTTAACTTTGTTGAGATAAGTGTGCATGGAATTTGAAATCCTGATCTTGGCCTAAGTTTATAGTGCTCAAAATTTACAAGTGCAAATCTGTGCTCAGGTAGTGATTTGCATTTCTGTGCATAGCTTGATGGCAAGTTCGATTAAAAAAAAAAAAGATGTTTGGGTGCAAAAACTGACATTCTCCAGCTTCTTACAGCCTAAATATAAACACAATCAACTTTCTGACCTACTAGCAATGAATGAAGGAATACAATCATGTTTTTATCATAAAATATAATAAGTTTATTCTGGTGCAATAATATCAAGAGAAAATGGTGGACTGCTTAATTTTTCATGAATGACCAAAATTAGATAACGGTGGTTATAACTGGAAATCTGATTTTTTTGTCAGGCCTGGGGGCCATAAAACTTAGATGAGCTCACTTTGATCCAAGTCTCACTTTTCCACTATATATTCCTTTGGAAAAAGTGAGACATCAATATTTTTTGTGGTTTTGTCACTCAGGAAAACTTGAATTAAATTTACCTTCTTTAACTGTGTTCTCTTCACTTTGTTTCTTGTCTGTTTTCATCTCTCTCAGGTCTCTCTTTAATCGCTTTGCCTCTTGTCGCAATTCTTCACTACAAGCATAATTAATGGGGAGTTCTCTCATATAACATTTTACACGATAAAGTCTTTCACAATTAAGTCACTAAGGACAGCCCTAGATTTCTTACTTTCCTAAGATCACCAACACTTTCATAACTATCTCACTCATAGCAAAAAATGGATTCTACATGTGAATTCATTGTGAAGATGTTTTAAATAACCTCAAAACTTTCCATTCCAGAGCAAAGTTTGGAAAAAAAAATTAAGAGGTGTGAACTGATATTTAATGTTGTTTTGTGAACTGCTTTGTAAAACTTTATCTTTGATTCGGAATATGAAATGTATTTGTATTTATGATAACAAAATTATTAATTATTAAGGAACTTCACATATTTTTCAATGACATCTTTCTTATTTTGACTTATTATGTACTTGGTAAACCTGTGATGATGCAAAAATGTATTCAGTGGAAACTATAGCGTTTGTTGGTAGATCTGAGAAAACAAGTACAGAATAATTGACATCTCTTTATCACTTTTACAGTGAATGATGTAGTAAATAATTGCATCGCCCCTTTTTATCAAATATTACCTACAGGTAATCAATATTTGTTGTTATAGCGATAGCAGATACAAATATTCCTGTTCCATAAAGCATATATAATTAAATCATGCGAATTTTCTCAAAATGTACATTTACGTGTATATTTGGCTAAACTGGTTTATTTTTGTTTTCCTGTTCAGTGTATCTATGTATGTCTACGGGGGCAAATTAAGGAATGAATTAATAGCTACCCAAATTATACTGTACAATCTGGGTTGGGACCATCATGATTTTTACGCAATCTACAGTATCATTGTTTATGACATATTAGTCCAAAGGTTTGTGAGGAGTGTAGCAGATCATAAACCCTGGGCTATAATTAAAATCACTTTTTATTTGTGAAAACTTTATTTTGCACAATTATGCAAGAATTCTGCTCGTAAAAATTTCAGTTTTACATATAGTTCAACTATTTCAGATTATATAGAGCAATAATCAAAATTTGTAAAAAAAAAAAAAAAAAAAAAAAAAAAACACACCAGTCTAGGTAAAAGAAATTTCATAGAGCTTTAAAAAAAAATTGTGAATACATTTGAATTTTTTTTTTCTTATAAATATCAAACAATAATCTAACAAGGTGTCATGAAAATTTATTAACCTACTAAACAACTGTGTATTTAATATATGGAATATAAGAAAGAGATGTGTTTGTTGAAGTTTCTCAAAAGTCAGACTCCAGAGGTCATGTTCAAAATTGTTGTTACCCGAAAGAAGGTCTTGTCACAAGCAATATATCTGTGAAATATGAAACCTTATTACATTTTTACCCGTGAAATACTGTAATTTATTCATTGAATAAAAATGATATCCTGTCACAGTGTGAAAGGATATCAAAATGATATCCTGTCACAGTGTGACGAATATCAGAAGTGCGGGAAAACTCTCGATTTCCCTTCCCATAACGAAGATTGCTGTAAAAAATCTTCCTTGACCTAATATAAGACAGATGGAAATAAATAAACCATTCTGATAGCGAATAAAACTGTCAAAATTACCAAAAATATGTTGCTAAATCCATGTTTACAGTGTTTTCACCTCACTTAGCTATGACGTCTCAACCGCTCAACTTAGCTGCAATAATGTAGCCCTCTCCGATTTTTTTTATCTGATATTTTCTGGAGAGGCCAAAAAAAAAAAAAAAAAAAAAAAAAAAATCGGAGAGGGCTACATTATTGCAGCTACCGCTCAACTATGACGTCACGAGCCTATGACTGTATTACAAAAAGAAAGAGGCAAAGGAAAAATCAAAGAATTTTTTTTAAAAATGTGATAAACAGAAAATTCAATGTTTTGTAGTTGAATATGGAATTTATTTCACTCGTGAGACAGGATTTTTTGATATTTTCACTCGTGCTTCGCACTCGTGAAAATATCAAAATCCTGTCCCACTCATGAAATAAATTCCATATTCAACTACAAAACATTGAATATCCTCTATCTATTTCTAAATGTTCAAAAGTTATGCCAATACAAGAGGCCCATGGGCCACATCGCTCACCCGAGCATTGTGGCTAGGAAAAAGTAGTAATTGGTTTACTATTGAAAAGTTTGAATCCAAAAGTTTGGCCCCGCCCTACCCCCGGGGGTCATGATTTGAACAGACTTGAATCTACACTACCTGAGGATGCTTCCATATAAATATGAGCAATTATGGCTTTGCTATTCTTCAGAAGAAGATTTTTAAAGAATTTTCCTATATATTTCTATATAAAACTTTGGTCGGCCATTGTGGCCCCGCCCTACCCCCGGGGGTCACAATTTGAACAAACTTGAATCTACACTACCTGGGGATGCTTCCATATAAATATGAGCAATTCTGGCTTTGCTGTTCTTGAGAAGAAGGTTTTTAAAGAATCTTCCTATATATTTCTATATAAAACTTTGGTCAGCCATTGTGGCCCCGCCCTACCCCCGGGGGTCATGATTTGAACAAATTTGAATTTACACTACCTGGGGATGCTTCCAAATAAATATGAGCAATTATGGCTTTGCTGTTCTTGAGAAGAAGATTTTTAAAGAATTTTCCTATATATTTCTATGTAAAACTTTGGTCGGCCATTGTGGCCCCGCCCTACCCCCAAGGGTCACAATTTGAACAAACTTAAATCTACACTACCTGGGGATGCTTCCATATAAATATGAGCAATTATGGCTTTGCTGTTCTTGAGAAGAAGATTTTTAAAGAATTTTCCTATATATTTCTATGTAAAACTTTGGTCGGCCATTGTGGTCCCCCCCTACCCCCGGGGGTCATGATTTTAACAAATTTGAATTTACACTACCTGGGGATGCTTCCATATAAATATGAGCAATTATGGCTTTGCTGTTCTTGAGAAGAAGATTTTTAAAGAATTTTCCTATATATTTATCGTGTAAAACTTTGGTCGGCCATTGTGGCCCCGCCCTACCCCCAAGGGTCACAATTTGAACAAACTTAAATCTACACTACCTGGGGATGCTTCCATATAAATATGAGCAATTATGGCTTTGCTGTTCTTGAGAAGAAGATTTTTAAAGAATTTTCCTATATATTTCTATGTAAAACTTTGGTCGGCCATTGTGGTCCCCCCCTACCCCCGGGGGTCATGATTTTAACAAATTTGAATTTACACTACCTGGGGATGCTTCCATATAAATATGAGCAATTATGGCTTTGCTGTTCTTGAGAAGAAGATTTTTAAAGAATTTTCCTATATATTTCTATATAAAACTTTGGTCGGCCATTGTGGCCCCGCCCTACCCCCGGGGGTTATGATTTTAACAAATTTGAATTTACACTACCTGGGGATGCTTCCATATGAATATGAGCAATTATGGCTTTGCTGTTCTTGAGAAGAAGATTTTTAAAGAATTTTCCTATATATTTCTATGTAAAACTTTGGTTGGCCATTGTGGTCCCGCCCTACCCCCGGGGGTCATGATTTGAACAAACTTGAATCTATACTACCTGAGGATGCTTCCATATGAATATGAGCAATTATGGCTCTGCTGTTCTTGAGAAGAAGATTTTTAAAGAATTTTCCTATACATTTCTATATAAAACTTTGTCGGCCATTGTGGCCCCGCCCTACCCCCGGGGGACATGATTTGAACAAACTTGAATCTACACTACCTGAGGATGTTTCCCTATAAGTTTCAACTTTCCTGGCACAGTGGTTCTTAAGAAGAAGATTTTTAAAACATACCACCAAATTTTCACTAATTCTCAATTATCTCCCCTTGAATAAGGGCATGGCCCTTTATTTGAACAAAGTTGAATTCCCTTCACCCAAGGATGCTTTGTGGCAAGTTTGGTCAAAATTGGCCCAGCAGTTCTTGAGAAGAAGTCGAAAATGTGAAAAGTTTACGGACAGACAGACAGACAGACGGACGCCGGACAAAATGTGATCAGAAAAGCTCACTTGAGCCTTCGGCTCAGGTGAGCTAATAAAAATTTTAAAAGTGGGTCAAACACTAAGGTCAAGGTCAATAAGTCAAAATATTTATAACCACTGAAAGATCCTATTGCAATGAATACATATGTGAAGTATGAAAGCCCTAGCACCAACAGTGTAAAAGTTATGGCCATAGTTAAAGCTTGGGATTTTTTTGTTTGTTAAATGTAGGTCAAACTCAAAGTCAAGGTCAAGAAGTCAAATTTGGTGGTACCAAAAGAAAGGTCTTGTCACAAGGATTACACCTGTGAAAAATGAAAGCCATAGTCCCTTCCCCTTAAAAGTTATGATCAAGGTTAAAGTTCTTGCAGACAAACAGACAGCTAGAATATGGAAGGACATAGCTGGACCCCTGAATCTGCTATTGTGGGGGCATAAAAAGGGTTTTAGTGCATTAGGGTTGGGACAATATATCGAGATATCGATATATCGTGATATATGTAAGGACGATACGCATATCGATACATGAAGAAATATCGAAATATTGCCCATGAAAATCTGACTACTATTTTTCTTTGTTTATTTAACATTTTGGTTTTAATATATAAAATAGATAAGAATTAACACGCATTCTCTGTAAGCACCAACGAATTTACTATAGGGCTTGGAAACGACATGTCTCAGATTTTGATGAAATTTTTACCATAGGTGTGTCTTGGTACAAAACTAGTAAATATGATGTCGGAAGTTCCACACGTGCACTTGGTTGCCATGGAGACGGATCCATTGAATTCGGCCATTTTTTACCCATTTTGACTATATGAAAACATGAAAATTGAGGAAATGTAAATGAATATTTATCGGTATCTAATACACTTTAACAAAAATCATTAGATCATATGATAACATGACCTTTTAAGGTACACAGAGCATATAATCGTTTATTCTAGAAATATTCTTCCTGTAAGAAAAAGGTCATGCAAACTGACATGGTTTCTAAAAAATTGAAAAATGGGGAAATTGTAATTTTTTGAGATCTTTGAGGCTAAATAAGA